TGTTGTGTTTTCGCACGCATGATTTAACCGTGAACGGTATTTTTTCTTTGATTTATTTGTTAAGAGTGTAATAATTAATTCACTTGTAAAATTTTAGAGCTACTGTTAGTTGCAATTGGTTTTTTTCCCCTTGAATATTTAATTGCAGTAAAAATTTCTTTTTAAAAATTTTATTGAGACAAACTAGGCATTTAATCATAGAGTATTTTTAAATTTCCCTTTACTTTGTTTCAATAATACGTAAGTAGTTTTGTCTTTAGTAACTGAATTATTATCCAAAATAACAATTGATTTTCAATTAAAGTAGTTTAAATGACAAACTATTTTCACTTTCTTTTAATTCAATTGATTTCTAAGAAAATGAAAAGAGTGTACAAGTTTAAATATGAATTTATCAAAAACTGCTACAGAATTAAATAATTATGCATAGAACTTCTGGATCAAAGTACGATATAAAATACCGGAACTTTAAGTGCATAGTCCATGAAATCCATTTTATCGTAAAATCCATTTTTACTGCAAAATATTATACCGTAATTTTTACATTAATAGTTATTTAGTTGGAGGGATTCAGTGGTTTTACAGCAATTATTACTATAAAAATTGCAATAGATCAGATTTTTGTTCCGTTTTCTATCTTTTATTATTAAAAACCATTTTAATTCTTATGCTTTTATGACACGTGTTATGAATTAGTTCAGATTTCAGGTAACTTAACTACTGTTGTTGGTCCTGTTTTTTTTTAGGGGCTAAAAATGTTATTGCAATCCCATATTTGATCCTATATTCGAAATAATGATATGTTTACGTTCATTATTTGTAAACTTTTCGATAAATTATTCCACATCACGCATTTCTCCTCGGAATAAAACGCATTTTAAAATTAAAAATTTAATGCCTTACACGGAAGAAAAAAATTCTGGTAAAATTACAGTGTCTTTACTGTAATGACATTTCTTTTTTAAAAAAAATTCCATAACTCTAGTAATAAAAACTAAAATAAAATAAACAGTATTTAAATCAATCATTTGGTAATTTTTCCTTTTATACGATAATGGTTTACCGGAAATTCTGGTTTTCAAAATTATAGTTTTTATTACAACATATTTAGTAAAAAATACAAATCTGAAACGTAAATTTAAAGGAATGAATGGGGTTCACGTCACATTCTAAGGTTTCATGTTATAATAACCAAATTTTACCACATTTGCCAAATTTTATCACATAAAACCATATTTCATTGTTAATTTTACCAAAATTTTTAACAAAAAAATCTTCTGAAAAAAAATTACAGAGCTTTTCGTTGTTTCCATAGAGACAGAACTTCGGTAAATTTTACAATATAGATAGTTTCGGCCATACTTTTTTCTTCTCAGTGCAGTATATTCAGGCAAGTTCTGAAATTATAGAGATGCATTCACAGGAACGCAAACTCTTTCTTTCATTATTATAAATTTATTTTATTCGGGTGCATGACAATGCATACTCGTATTATGAATTAGTTCAACTCTTTGGTAACTTAATTATTCTCGTTGGTGCTGTTTTTTAAGAACTAAATAAAATTCAGCAATCCCTTATTTATTCCAAACACGTTCGTCATTTGCTCTTTTCGATAAATTATTCCATATCATACATTTCCCCCCGAAATAAAGCTTATTTTAAAATGAAAAATTAATACTTTAGTAGAGTTTAATAACTTTGTGCAATATACTTACATTTCATTACAACTTTTAGTATTTATAAAATCTATCTGATTATTAAATTATTAGTGATAAAATCTATCAGATTATTCAATTATTGTTATTTGTATAATAGGAGATATATTTTTGCTACTTTTATTTAATGATTAATATCTTAGGAAATTATTTATCATAAATATTTGACGTACATCACTAATTAAAAATTCAGCTTTATTTTCTTAAATTAAATTAATGATATTAAATTAATTTATTTGACAAATTACAATTCCTTCAGTAATATAATTTATTGCGATATATAAGATTTTTCTAACTAATATTTCAAACTCATGAAAAAGACTAACTTATGCTATTTATTTTGATTGGTAAGAAACATACGAATAACATGATATATGTACAGAAATAACATGGTATATGTGCAAGAATAACATGATATAGGATACATGAACTCAACTTACACAGGTTTTTATGTTGTTAAAACAACACATTAACATGGTACTGCAATACATATTATATTTTTGTTTTACTATTATTATAAAATGGTTTTAAAATTGAGTGTGAACATAATTTCGTAACATTAATTTTTGATGAGGGTTAGAAAGAAAAAAGGCTTTTCTCCTAAAAAAGTTCTAAGTATAATCTCTTGAAAATAAAATATAAAATTTAGAATTGCACTCCAATACATACTTTTAAATGTAGAAAGTTTAATATATTATTAAAAAAAATTTTTTTTTTGATTGTAACTCGTTCTTTACTTGCATTTTTTTAACTAATTTTAAAAGCTATCAGAAGATGATTATGGTCTGTTTTAAACATTTTTTTAAGTCATGACTTAAATTTAAATTTATTAGCACTGATTTATTTCGTGTATATATATTTGCAGAAATGCGCAAACATTAAAAGAAATTACTCATAGCGTCTAAAAATTACACTGTAATAAAGTCTAAAAATTATACTGTACTGTTAATTTAAAGTAACATGGACTCACATTAGCAATTATACTCAAAATGGTAAAGACTATGGGAAAATTAAAAGCTTTTCTTCATTCAGCTATGTTTAAATTTAAAGTATTCATGTAAAAAATGGAAAATTAAATTATTCAAAAGATTTTACTCTTTTTTTAAAAATAACACCAGAGTTGTTTTTTTTTCCTTTTTTAAATAAATACCATTTTTTTTAAACCGTTGGTTAAATCAATGTGGTTAAAACCCTGTTTTTGATTATAATAAATTGTTAATAAAATGCTATCGATTATTGTTCGAAATATTAACATTTACAACATTTCATTTAGTTTAAATAAATATTGAAATTATTAATATTTAGAACTTAGAAAATTCATTATATTTAGACATCGGTTAGAAATGATAAATAAGAAAATTTATATATGAATAGAAACGGGAAAATTGGATGATTCTAATAAATAAATGATTTATTAAATAGAAACTTAAGAAAGCAGTCAATGTTTTACACATTTTTTTGAAAAGTTATATATTTGTCGGGTCTAAAATCAAAAGTGTTAAATGTAATTACTTAATGCTCACTAATAATTTGTTAACTTCTTCATGCATAACAAATTATCTACGAATTAATAACATTACTTATAAAACTAGCACTTGAATTGATTTAATTGACCTTGTCTAAAATGACTAAAAGCAAAAGCGGTTACAATTCATTCATCAACTTTTATTTCAGGAGGTTAGCTAAGGTTAAGGTTAATGTTCTTTGAAAGATAATTGTATCTTAAGTTCTATTCAGTAAATCACAAATGCTGCTTAGTTTCATGTTTCATACCTTAAGTCGTGTTTTGCAATTTGTACAAAACTTTCTTAGATTTTTTTTCTTCCCAATAGTGTATTGCTGCCTGACGACCGAGGCTGTGAAACAAATATATATATATTTTTTAAATTAATAAAATTTTTTATCTTCTTTACTGAACTCAAATTTAAAAGGTATAAAAAAAGACATTGTTAAAATTTTGGCGCATGTTTTTGTTTCTTAAGGCTTGCTCTGGTAGTAGTAAAATTTGTAACACATTTTATACCTCTAATTTAAAAAAAACAAATTTCAAAAAAACAAATTTCAAAAAAATATCATCTATACCTGAGTAGCTTCAACATAGCTACTGTAACAATATTGAACTAATCTATATATTTATGCTATTTTTTTAAAATTGGTATTTGTGAAATTAGAAATGTAAAATATTTCCTTAATTTTACATTATTCTTCGACTGTGTCTGTTATGAAGAAAATAACAGTAAAGGTTGCATTTTAATTTATTGCAAATTATCTATTGTCTAATTAATCTATAATCACAGGGGCTGTAAAGTTTTAGCTGCCCTGTGGGCAAAACGCAGCATGTGAGTTTCGAAATAAGTTTAAATTTTGAAAAGGAAATTGAGCAAATTACAATTCTTCTATTAGCACCACAGCCAATTGTTAGCGTTGACTGTCTCAAGCAGTTTATTCCACGAGTACTCTCTATTTATTTACCCATGCATAGCTTAGTCATTTTCCGACATCTTCCAACCATGGCACGCCTTTCTTCTTCTTTTTAAGCATAGCTATGACCAAGCCCTCTTATCTGCTTAATTTTAATTATCTTAACTATGTTTCTTAAATTCGTTGTATACTTGTATAATTCAAAGTTATATCTGATTCTCTATACTTCATCCTCCATAAATCACCCCCAAACTTTTTCTCAAGATCTTTAGTTCACAAATATGTCATCTATTTTCTTCTGATTTATTCATTGGACTCGAGCTCTAAGTTGTCCTATGTATCTCGGGCTTGATTGAGCTAAGATTAAAATTCTTCGGGCTCGAACCTCCAAAAGTGAGCCCTAAAGCACCTGTATTCTGTGCTACTGACGTTCTCTTACTTATCAATAAAATGAATCAAATAAATGAATAGTACATTTTAAAAAAATAAATTTAAAATAAAACTAATTATTACCTAAATTAAATTAACAACTTGCAGTATTAAAATATAATTTAAAAAATTTTTTTTTTTCCGTATTCGTGTAAATTTCCCATATCAAGTTCAACTTTAACATATTTCACCACTTGAGTTTGAAGTATGAATTATTATCAATAGAGGACAGCACCACCGTCCACTCTGTAATGTTTATAAACAAAGAAGTAAAATCAAATATTGGAAAGTAAAAAACTTATTATTATACATCAATTTATTTATACGATTATATGAACTTTTAATATTGATTGACTTATAAATTCTAATGACTAAAGAGTTTGATTTCGATTTTGTCAACAATTTTTTAAATAAATCTTTCTTTGTTATTTTTAGCAGCAATATCCACAATATCCATCACAGCAATACCCATCGCAACAATTTCCAACTCAATATCGCTATGACAATCGGAGTGTTGCTAGAGAAAATGAAAGACCTTGTGTTGGATGTGAAGGAAACAACGGATGCAAATGTATTGGAGAGAAAGGATCCAGGGTGAGAATTTTTAAGTAAATTATTTATTTTATGTCCTGTAAATAATAATTGTTTAGTTTACTAATGTATTCGTGATAAAGCATTATTTAATTTTATACAAGCTGCTTAACATGTTGAAGCATTCTTTTTCATTCATAATTAAAAGAAAAAAAATTTTCTTCTTAAGTAATAGGATTTCTAATTTACTGTAAAGCTTTGTTCAGTTTTTCTTATCACTTTTAATTTGAGCTAATACTATTTATCTTATTTATCATAAATTTGCCTTAATGAAATATAAAACATATTATACACACACATATATATATATTATGTAATATGCACACACACAAATGGTTGCATTGCTTTAAATAATAATGTAATTGAACTTGCAACGTGTGAAAAGTAAAAATTTTAATTTTTAACTTTGCATTCAAACATTAGGTAAAATTTAATTTATTTCTTAGAATAGCAGGTTTTTGAAGCAGCAAATTTTGTTTTTTAAATGCTTAAAAGTAAATTTTTTTGAAGGCAACATACAAATTTGCCTCTTTGAAATAAAGCACATTTGATTTCTTAACCCAAACAGTATCTATATAGCTTCACATAAATTAAGCTCTTAAGAAAAAACTTTTTAAATATTCTGCTGTAATTTCTATTTAATTTTTCAAAGTAAATAAGTATATGATTTCATTTTTAACTTCACTTTGTGAATTACATTAATGGATCACATATTTCTGTGATTGTTCTTTTTATTTTATCTAGTATTATGATACAAATTCATATTGTTCTATTATGAAAATTCCAATTCATTACTTAGAATTCACATTCAATTCATCTGCTTTTTGAATTATTGAATTTAAATGGCTACTTTTTTTCAAAATGATGAGATCTCAAACAAAAAACATCATGAATAAGGCACAAATGAAAGTACATAAATGGACATACTATAATTTCAGTTCTATAAACAAGAACCTTCCTCAGTGTCTCAACACCAAATGATGGTAGATAAAGTAAGGAGACAAACCAGTAAGGACCGAACCAGTAAGGACCGAACCAGTTTAACCAGTAAGGACAGAAGAACAAGTAAATAAAAATTGAGATAGGAAACAGGTGTTAGGTTCATGTTTATAGAACTGAAACTATAATATATCCATTTATGTACTTTTATTTGTGCTTGATTCACATTGCTTTTTGCTTTAGTCTACATCACAAAGTTAGACTATCCTTTTATAGATGATAAGATCTATTAAGGTACTAATTATTAAAACTTACATTTAAATTATCACCATCTCAAAACAGATTTTCTTCACCCATTAAGTTTGCTCCTACATACCTTGTTAAGTTTTCTACCTAATTAACCTGTTTGCCATTGCATAATTATAATTTTTTTTTTAAGAGAACTAAGATATTTCAAAACGTTAATTTTTAACAATTGTGATGCATTAACTCTTTACTTGTGTATTTTTTAAGCCTTTGATGAAACTGATTTTGTTTTGTTTATAATGTAAATTATGATTTGTAGAATTATCTGATTTTTAAAATCAGCTGCTTTAAAAAATCAGCTGCTTTAAAAAATCAGTTGCTTTAAAAAATCAAATGTCCCTAAAAGTAATGTGGTTGTAATAAGCAGCAGTCACACTATGTCTATACAGTAACTAGTTGTTGTTTCTATCGCACTAACCTGTTCATTTTTATCAGAATTTATTTATAAGTTATTTTATGTTAACTCTCTGGGTGCTGAATTTTATATCATAGTTGTAGAAATTTGTGTTTTCAAATTGTAGGTGCTAATATAATAATTCTTTTTACTGTTACAGGGGGCACCAGGCTCTCCCGGTCCTCTTGGGGCAACAGGTTTGAGAGGTTTCGAAGGACCTGAAGGTCTTGTTGGTGATAAAGGGGAAAAAGGTGATGCTGGTATACCAGGACCTCGAGGTTCAAAAGGGGATAGAGTAATTTTTTTATTTCTTTAATTTTAGTCTTGTAGGAATTTATTTGATATCTTCTCATTGCTATAAAATTGACATTTAAACTTAAAAAAGAATCATAATTTTTATTGTTGTCTACTTATTTGTCAGAATGTTTTAATATGAATTGTGTCTGCTTTTATAAATTAAAAATTCAAAACATAACTTCTGAATTCAATCAATCTTAAATTGACCACTTTGTAGTCTAGGTAAGTGAACAATTACCTTAATGTTAAAGTAATAGTAGTAAATTACCCAACAATTTCCTTAGTGTTAAAGTAACAGTTTAGAAGTTAATCAATCAATTTTATTATCACCCCTTTATCAAAATTGAAAGGCAGATTTAATAGATGGTGTGCACATTTAATTAACATTAGTTTGTTTAATATTAAAAACTGAATCAAACTGACACAACTGAAAAATTATAAAATGAAGTATTCATTTTGTGTTTAGTTTTGGTAACATAAACTGCTGTTTGTAGAAAATGCAACACCATGAAGGAATCATCAGAATCAAATGAAATATTATTTTAATAATGGATNCAAATATTTGTAAAGTTTAACTTTAAAACCTCATTTTTCTTTGAACAATTGATATCCTGGTTTTTAAAATCACTGCTTTAGGAAATTAAATGTTCCCAGAAATAATGTGGTTGTAATAAGCAGTAGTCACTCTATATAGTAACTGGTTGTTGTTTCTATCGCACCAACCTATATATTTTTCATCAGAATTTGTTTATAAATTATTTTATGTTAGCTCTCTGGTTGCTGAATTATATATCATTTATTAGTTGTAGAAATTTGTGTTTTCAAATTTTAGGTACTTAATATAATAATTATTTTTACTGTTACAGGGGGCACCAGGCTCTCCCGGTCCTTCTGGGGCAACAGGTTTGAGAGGTTTCGAAGGACCTGAAGGTCTTGTTGGTGATAAAGGGGAAAAAGGTGATGCTGGTATACCTGGACCTCGAGGTTCAAAAGGGGATAGAGTAATTTTTTTATTTCTTTAATTTTAGTCTTGTAGGAATTTATTTGATATCTTCTCATTGCTATACAATTGATATTTAAACTTCAAAAAGAATCATAATTTTTATTGTTATCTACTTATTTGTAAGAGTGTTTTAATATGAATTGTGTCTGCTTTTATAAATTAAAAATTTGAAACGTAAGCTCTGAATTCAATCAGTCTTAAATGGACCACTTTGTAGTCTAGGTAAATGAACAGTTACCTTAATGTTAAATTAATAGTAGTAAATTACCGAACAATTACCTTAGCGTTAAAGTAACAGTGTAGAAGTTAAGCAAACAATATTATTATCACCCCTTTTTCAAAATTGAAAGGCAGATTTATTAGATTGTGTACACATTTAATTAACATTAGTTTGTTTAATATTAAAAACTGATTCAAACTGACACAACTGAAAAATTATAAAATGCAGTATTCATTTTGTGTTTAGTTTTATTTTAGATTTATATATAGCATTGAAAATGTGCTAAAAAAATCTAAACTCAAAGTCTCAAAAGTATCCAATCAAGGAAATAAATATAAAATAATTTTTTATATTTTTTTGCAGGATATTTAATTTAATTGCTGCAAAAAATAGAGTTCAGTTAAGTGAAAAAATATTATTATTAAAAGTATTTTATCTATATTAAAATTATAACTGCTATATTGTAAGCAAAGGAGAAGGGAAGAAAATCCTAAAAATAAAAGGTTTCAGTGTTTAACTGCTAAGAATTTTTTTTGACATAACTCGTTTTATATTGTAATTTACTGTTACTTCATGTACACATTTTATGATAATTCCCATTATGACTTTTTTTTGTACAAGTAATATTCACTTTTATTTTAAAATTTTACTTCTGTGTTATTCAAAAATGTTACACTACACCTGTATTAAGTAAATAAGAAAAAGTTGTAAAATTCAAACTTAAAGGCGAAATCAAGTAGAATGTTTGACACATTTTTGCCTTTTGTGTCCCTTTTTCAGAATAAAAGTGTGTCATAAGTTCAAAGAAATAATTATTTGTTGACAAAAATTTTGTTTAAAAATCCTTTTTTTTTTTAATATTAGCATAATGGATTAATAATACAGCCTTTTATTTTCAAGCTTTGCCCAAATGAATAATTTTTTCAATATTGAAGAATAAACTGTTTCTTTGCTTCATATTTAATTTAATAATTAAATTACTGTTCTTCGACAGATATTTAATAAATAAAATTTTTAAAATAAATTTTTTCTCTAGAAATTTAATAAAAACAGTTTTAAAATTTGATGAACCTTTAACATTTTGTTTTGCGTAATGCTAAAATTTCAAAAACTTTTTGCTCCTTTGAAATAATGCAAAATAGATGACCTAATGACAGTTACGGTGACTAAGTTTTCATTTGATTTCATTTTAATGACATTTATGTTAAATATTTTATAAATATTTTTCAATAAATCTATGAAATATTATTAAAAATGTTTGGCTTGAATATTAATAAGTTGAACGAGAGCTCTCTTCATGTTTTAAATTAAAAATTTCTTATAAATAAAATTGTTGTAAAAATTTGCCAAATTTAGTATATACCAATTTAAACATCTAAAATATTTTCACAAATTTAGTATTATTTTGCTGTTTTCAATTTTGATTTAATAATACTCTTTTAATTATTTCAGGGTAAAATGGGTATGCCTGGTTTTCCTGGACAAAATGGTATACATGTATGTATTTAATCAGAAATTAGTGGTGAATTATTTTGAATAATGTTTTGTTATTATTTTATAACTGGTTTTCTTTCTTTCAGGGCTTACCTGGCCATATGGGTCCTAGGGGTCCACCAGGTCTTGATGGATGCAATGGAACAGATGTATGCTATGCTTTATGGAATTTATTATTCCTCTTCCTTTTTACAAAACTTATAAACTGATGTTTGTCTTTCAAAAATATAATTTTTTTTTATAAAAAATATAATTTTTTTTTATGAAAAAGAAATTTTTTAATTATAAAAAAGTAATTATAATACTAATAATGTTTAATATTATTAACTGATTAGGGAACACCAGGTGTTGATGGATACCCAGGTGATCCTGGCCCACCAGGAGTACCAGGACCACCAGGATATAAAGGTGAAAAAGGAGAACCGGCTATTGGACCACCAGGCTTAAGAGGGCAAAAGGTTTGTGCAGTTTTCATGCAAATGATAATATTAAGAACTATGTCCTTTAAAATTTATGTTTGTCAAAAAATTGTACTTGCCAATATTTTTAAAATTGGCCTTAGTATAATTTAGTTTTATAACTTAATAAAAAATTAAATTTCAATGGTACCCTTTAAATTTCTTTAAATTTATATTGTACTTTTTACAATTGGGAAATTAATAAAATTTGTAAGTTAATAAAATTGTGAAGTTAATAATGTTTGATTAAATAAAGAATCTTTAAATTTATATGCGTAAGACAAGCTGTATGATTAGAACAATGTATAGGTTCCTTTAAATTGTAAAGTGTCGTAATTTTATATGCCATCTAGATATTGTATCAAATGCATTGCCTTTTTGGGAAATTTTATTACTTGATTAACAATTTATCCATTTTGATTATTTGATTAACACATTAAGTCTCCTTATATCTTATTATTTTTGTTTATTTTTTTCAGGGAGAGCATGGAAGAGATGGAGCTCCAGGACAACCTGTAAGGTTTTATATTTGTTTCTTAAATTATGTTTTTATTTTGTTCTTACAATTATTAATTGACAATTTTTAAAGTCATTATGTTTATATTAATTCATCATTTTAATTCAATTTTTTATATAGTAATTTTTGTGTAAACAAAATAATTGGTGTTTAAAAATGTAAAAATTACACTAAGTGTAATTTTTAAACACCATATAAAATGTTTTTAAAAATAAAAAAATTATTTCATTACATCTTAGCATATGACTCATTAAAATTGGAATTGGCCGCACTTTTATGTTCATATTTGTTATTTCTATCTTATTTTAAAACTAGTGAAGTTTATTTTGCTGTCAAACTGGTGGCTACAAAAATCAGAAAGACAACAGGGGAAATTTATTTATTAGAATTTATGATTATGTTCCTCAAATAAATCAAAGCAGAATTGGATTACCATTCATTCATATAAGGTTTTCATATAAACTTCTTCTAACTGTGTGAAATGCATGCATTCTAACAGTAATAGACATTTATAAGATATATGACACATACAGTATGTAGCCTAATCCCCTCCATATGAAAAATTTCTCACTATTTCTCTGGTGTTGGCAATAGTGTTATCCAAAAGAATGTTTTTAGAGAGTAAAGATTCTAGATTCACTCCCCCATTAATTTTTCAGGGGTAAAATTTAAAATTAAGAAGTGAATTTCCAAATTAAAAATATGTTTGTACATTATCACCATTTTATAAAACAAATTATAGTACAACATATTAATTGTGCAAAGTAAACTATGCAAAATAAAATTATAAGTTAAATATTTGACTAAAATTTTTTATTCCTTATTATTTATATATTTTTTTTTGTACTGTTAGGAAATTAACTTAAGCCTAAGGTTTTCAAAAAAATTTTTTTCATAAAATTTATTAAAACTAGATTAATTTTGTTTTTTTTTGTTTCCACAATTTCAAAGTGTAATTGAAATTCGTGTTCCATTTGATATGTTCATTGGAGACATGAAAAAAGGAAAAGGAACCCTTTATAAGATATTCTGCTAAAAACATCCTCATATTTTACTGGGAGAATTTTCACTCCCAGTAAATTTTTGAGGAGTGAAACTTTTATCCAATGTGTGAAACACACGTCTGGATTTGTATTGGCCAACTCTAATAAATCAATCTTATCTAATAAATCAATTTTAATTAGAATTCAGTTCTTGTAGAATTTTGGTTGCATATTTTTGTGGTAACGATTAAAAAATATATTCTTTAATCACAAATACATATCATTTGCAATTTTATGTCTTGAACAATGTCATTTTTGTTGATATTTAGGTAAAAATTATTTTTTAGGGTCCACCTGGAATTGATGGAAGTTCTGGACCTAAAGGTGATCGAGGACCTTACGGACCACCAGTAAATAAAAACTTATCTTTATTTTCATGTTTCATAATGCACTATAATATTCAAATAACTTTTTAGTAAATTGTAATCGATTGTCACTATTGATTGTCTCTTTTATTGTCAAATGTTTCAACACTGTTTTGAAAATTGATTTTTATATCAGTTTGTTTAAATTTCTTTGGGAAATTGTCTCAGAATAATTTAAATCTGAAATCTGTGACAAATTATGCATAAAATTATTTAGTATTAAATAGAAAAGTGTTTTCTATTACTTTATCTGATATAAGTTGAAAATAAATATATTTATAAAGTGAGTTGAGTGTATCAACGCATGAAAGCTCTTTTTTTTTATACAGTCTTTAATTTTGTTAATTAGTGTTATTTTTATTATTGATAGTAATTAGTGTTATTTATTTTTGAGTTGCATACTTTAAGCTGTAAAAAGTCAACAAATGAAAGATTATTTTCTTCATTTTCCGTTAGGTTTTTTCATCATAAATATGCTAAACTTTTTCACAATTCTCAAGCTGTTGCTCATAAATAGCTTATGACCACAATTTTTTTTATTGTATCAAAAAATGATTCTAAAAGCATGTAGTTAATGAAAAAATTCAAAATTATTGTAAAGTTATGTATTTTTATATTTTGGATTATTGCTATTATTTTTAATTTTATAAGTAGACTCATTTTGGAATTTTAATGTAATTTCAAACCACCCTGGATTTTTGCTGATGATCATAAGTTCAACTTCATATTATTTGTTTGAGAATTTACTAAATTGGAAAGCTACAGTTTCATTATGGAAAATATGAATACCTATTTTTTCAAAAGTTCAACAAAAGAGTTACGTAGTCACTTACGCAGTAAAAGTTTCATAGTCACTTTCTCATAATTTAGAACTATTTATTATTCACTCTTGTTGTACTAAGACATGGTGAAATTGATATTACAGTAAAACTTGTGCAAGTTGACCACTTGTGGTGCATTGTTTTAGTGGTCAACTGATAGAGGGGGTAGGTCATTGTTAACTTTTTCGTTTATATTTGCTATATATATATATATATATATATATTTTAACTAAACTTAAAAATTTTATTTGGCAAATAGCGAAATGAATATCTTAAGAAATGTGTTTAAACCTGAATGAAGTTCATTAACAAATATTTGAAAACTTTAACAAAACAAAATTATTTGAATACTTTAAAATTTATTCTGTTATTACTACACTTACAAACCTATTTGTTACAAAAATATTCTCTCATTGTTGTTTGGCGCTTTTGTTTAGACTTTACATCAACCCAATGTTTTGAATGAAAGAAATGGTCAAAAGCTGACCCCCTACAGTTTCCGCAGATGGTCAACTATCAAAAGAGTTTAGATTAGCATTTTACACTATTTCACCAAACAAGTGAAATTTTAACATACATTGCAAAATGACAAAATTTTCTGAATTTTTTTTTTTTCTGGTCAACTTATGAGAAGTTTAGAATAAAATTTCATAATACTCCGAAACAAAATTGACTTATTTCAGTGGTCAACATACAAGACAGACAGGTGGTCTAGTTACAAAGGTTTTGCTTCTTTATATTATATAGAAAAAATTCCGTTCTTGAAAATTGAGGTCAACTTATGCAGGTGTCCAACTTACAAGGGTGGTCAACTTGACAGGTTTCACTGTATTTTGAAATCATGCAGTAAAATAATTGTTTTGGGATTCTATTGTATTTTTCTCATATTTTTTTTTTCTTCAATTAACGCAATCATATTTGAGTTTGACTTTTTTTGGAGGATCAATACTAATTGCTATTATTATATAAGTTTTTTGTAATCTTCCCTGTCTTTAATGCCATTTCTAATAAAACATTAAAAATCACCAGGGTAAACTATATTCTTCTTTAAAAAAAGTTTGAAAACTCTCACAAATTTTTTTAATAAAAATCATATGACAAACAAGCGTTTTAATAATAATTTTATAAATAAGAGTATTCTATTTCAGATTGCATGTTTTGTAAAATATTTATTTACTGGTTGTCAATTTTTAAATAATTAATGTAATGTTATTCATTTTAACTGTTATATTTTAAATTATTTAAAAATGAAATAAACTTATATGAAATTTCAACTTATATTTGGGTTTTATTGATTCTTTGTAAAGTTTAGTATTTTATACATTCTTTTATTAAGTGATATGTTTATCGAATGATTTTAGGGAGTAAAAGGTGAAAGAGGACTTCAAGGTGATAAAGGTAACATGGGAGTTGGTTTTCAAGGCTTAAAAGGAGAGCGTGTAAGTTATAAGTTTATTTTAAGTATAAATTTAAAAATATCAAAATAAGGGAAAGAACAATAATGAAGAAAAAAATTAGTTTCACTAATTTATTTTCATTGCTGTTTTTTCCTGTCTTTATTGATTCAAGTGTACTTTAAGTATATTTTTTACTTTTACACATGTGAAATTCATTAAATTTAAAAAATTGTTGATTGCACCATTTTTCTTACTTTATTTAATTCCGTAATTAAAATTCTAAGTTTCATTCTAATTAGGGTGAACGTGGCTTGCTTGGACCTCCCGGACCACCAGGTGCATGTGATGGATATTTTGAAGGTAAAAAAGGAGCAACAGTCGGACTTCCTGGTTTACCTGGCCCAAAGGGAGAAAAGGTGAAATTATTGCTTTATTCTTTTCATATGTTAAATAAGTATTTAATTCAGATTTTGATGTGTTATAAAACTTTGCTTTAAATCTTTTTGTAGGGGGAATCAGGCGAAAGAGGGGAAAGAGGATTTGCTGGATTATCTGGCTTAACTGTAAGTCTTCATAAAATACCCAACATTATAAATAAAATTTAAATTTTATAAGAATTCCTAGCACTATTATGATCTTATTATTGGTTACACTTTTTAAAGAAAAAATGTCTGGAATTATTCTGTGCACAATCAAACATTGCGTTCTATTTCTTATTATATTAATTGCTTTAATTAGTTTTGTTTGGCTCGGTAGAACAGTAGGGTAAAAACTGAAACTATTTTTGTTATTTTAGAAGCAGTTCTTATAAAAAATTGTAAAAGTGAAGCTACCTGTTTCTGAAGCTTCAATTGTAGGGAAATCATTTTATACATGTTATTTCTTATAAATTTAAGAAGAAAAGTTTAATGTGTGTTTTTAGGCAAGTTATCAAATCTTTTAACAATATTATAATTTTTAATCAACATGTTTTATTTATATTTTTTCTACTTAGTTTTATTTAATCAGTTTCATGTATTAGTAAAGTTATGTATTAAAACCTTATAACATTTTATATTTTTTAATATTTGAATCATTTTCATGAGGTCAAAATTATTCTGCTTTATATTATACTCATCTATGAGAAATATTTTTTAAAAAACTTTGTTGTCATATACAACCTATCTGCATTTTTAAGTTGGTTTTATTCATTGTTTATGTGTAGAATTTAGAAGAATATGTAATATAAAGAATTTACTGTGAACATTATCAGTATATATCATGCACCTTAATGCTTTTTGATAAGTGTTTAGCTAAAAGTTGAATTAGAATTTTTTTGCTTGCATATTTAATGTAAAAAATAATTTGACTGATAATATGATTTGTGTTTTGGCTTTGAAAATTTTTTAGACAGTAATTGCAAAGTAATTTTTTTCTAGGGACCTTCTGGTGATATTGGTATGAAAGGTGAAAAAGGCCTTCCTGGTTATCCTGGACCTAGGGTATACTAGAAAATTTAGCTTAAAATATATATCTATTAGTTAATAATGTTTTGTGGAAACTGTTGTAATTATTAAATGTTCTTCTAATTTAGGGAAAAGATGGTTTTCCCGGACCTCCTGGTGTACAAGGCTTCAAAGTAATTTTTTACTGCCTAATATAATGCAGAATGTTTTATTTTAATTAGTATTTATGAGACTAGGTTTCTATAAATGTATTTTTAATATATTAGACTCAATAATATGTTTTTTGTTCAATTTATTTTTAAAATATGAATTCAAATATTTTTAAGTATATTAACAATTGTCAAAAATTTTAAACTTTATATAATGTTAATATTTGCTCTAAATTAGTAATTATTTTCTAATCTTATAGAATAAAAACATATAAATAATTAATTTTTATATTTTTTTTATTTATTTTAATTATGGAAATATTATATTTCTATAAAGTTTTTTGTATTTTTGCGATTATTTTACATTCAAAATTCTGATTCATTTTAAAATTTGATATTTAAAAACAGAAAAGGTAAGTTGTAATATTAACTTTTTTTCTATAAGGGAAAATATATAATTTTCAATATTCCATTTTTGTAGATTCTTTACAGTTTTTTTTTACTAATATGCTCATTAGAAGTTTATTTTGATGATGTTTTGTAATGACTATTTTTAGTAAAAAAGTTCATAATATAAAAGAATCATTCTTATAATTGAGAATCGATTTTTTATACATATTTCTTTTCTATATGTTCAATTATGTTTGACATATTTTAGGGTGATAGAGGTGATGATGGATTACCTGGATTAGATGGTTTACCTGGCATGAAGGGAGATTTAGGAGATTCCGGCATACCAGGACCAAGAGGTTTGCCTGGACCACCAGGACCACCGGGTGTTAGTATTACTTCACTTTTTCTGGAGTTGAGAATGAATATTTCATGTAGGGACCTAAAATTTAAGAAAAAGTTTTTATGTAGGAATTGTAGTATCAAGCCAGCATATTTTTTTATTGTTTATTTTCGCATAAATATTGTGCAAATATTTAGCATATTTTATTAGTTGCTTGTTTCAGACAGCAATCTTGTATTGGAGTGTTCTTCATTATTATCTGAATTATGATGCATAATTGTTGTGATATTTTAATTTCTTTAAATTGCTGGGGTAAGAATAATCAAAGCCAATCTTCAGGGAAAGGTTCAAAGAAAATAAATTTAGCTAGTGGTATTTCTATACCACTTTCTCTGATAAATTATGATTCTGTGGCTCTGAGGAATTCTAAGGAGCTTTCCTCTGTTTTTTTCTTTGTTTTTTCCTTTTCTTTCCTCACTCTTCTTGTTTTATTATCTGTCAGATCTAATTTCTAACACTTTATGATATTCTAAGCATCTAGTATTGTAAGTTTTTGCCTTTAACATGGTGCAGTATTGACAGAGATGGATTATGGCAGCGAACACCAAAGTAAAACGCTACTCTCAATGCAATACTAAAAATTATTTTTTAAAAAGTGAAAATTCTCAGCGTTTGACTATTTTATGAAAAGCCTGTTTTTTTGGTAAAGTAATGTAGGTAAATGCATCAGAAAAATAGTCTCTATCTACTTTTAGTTTAGTTTAGTTTTTTTTTCTTATTCTCACTAGCTGAAACTTAAGTAACAGTTCCTTTGTTAATTCTTTTAATGTCTAAACTGCTTCAAGATGTTACTCTTTCCAATATCTGAAGTAGAAGATCTTTAAAAATTGCATAGTAAAAGGATAAATTACTTTTTTTTTCATTGTGTTTGTTTTTATTTAGAACTGTTTAAGTATAACAGTTTGAATGAAACAAAGTAGCTTTAATCAATACAAGTTAAAGATAGCTTATAATTAACATTCTGTTGCAGTGTTCTAAAATAACATGATTAACATTCTTAAAATAACATTTAAAGTAATGTTGTTTTCAGAGCAGGTTCGATTTTCAAACCGATCTAACTTACAGATCTAAATATACAGAGATCTATCTCTAATTCAATCCAATACAAACCTTATGGTTAAATTTTCTTTAAAAAAATTTTAAATCTTAGTTTATACTTTTTTGAAACTTTTACATTTTTAATTATTGTAGATATTGACCATGAAAATATGGTACAGAAATTGTAGACCATAAAAAATAATATATAGTTACCAGTCATTAAAAGTGATATAAATTTTTTAAAAACATGTTTCATATGTAATATTTTAGGGTATTGAAGGAAGAGCTGGCCCACCCGGACCCCCAGGACCTTCAGGCATAACTGGCCCACCTGGTTTCTCAGGAGCTGATGGATTATCAGGTTTGTTAGATTATAAATGTTGCAGTATGTTTAACTATAGACAACTAAAATTATTGTTTTAAAAAATGTATTGCAGTTTTTTTTATTTGCTTATTAAAATTTAGCTTTTTAAAATGTGATATAAATGTATTGAACTCGTTATTTTTTTGATGTTTACATTCTTTTTTTCACACAGCTTGTACAAAGGTAATTCTTTTTCTCCCACTCTCTCTTTCGAAATTTGTAGTATAACTTTGTTTAAATCTTATTGAAATTATAGTTAGATTGTTCTTTTTTTCTTTTTCAAATTTTGACATATTGTAATTTTTTGAAAAAATAATTAATGTTTGAAGCATGCATTCAATCAATTTATTTAAAATGTAACGAAAAATACAGAAAACAACAATGATAAAAATATAGGCGCAAATATATAATATGTTTCTAATCGAAATGACATATATCACAGGGATATAAAAAAATATAATAAACGTTTTAAAAACATGACTTTTTTTACTGAAAATATAAATATGAGAATTTGTTTTTTAGACTAAATTATGTAGTAAAAGTATCAATCATTAATTGTCTTTGGATTTTCTAGTAAGTTTAAATTATTCATATTAAAGTATAAATTTCTATAATAATGCAGTTTATTATTTTAGTCAGCGAAATGGATTAATTGTTTTTCTGTTTCTGCACCAATTCAGTTAAAGATTATATAAATGACACACAAGGAATTATGAGCTATGTGCTGTTGTTAGTTAAGAAAAGACCATTGCAGTATAGGATTTAAGTAATCATCCGTGACTGCTTATAGTTCCGTTTTATTTAGCTTTCAAATTATATAATTCTACTTCTAAAAATTAAACTCGTCAGGCAGAAATTTAATTAATACTACTTTTTATAAGCAAAAAGATGGCTGTGCTACGTCGTTTTAAGAGTTAGCGATGTTGATATTCGTTCGTGCTTGGCATCCATTCAGTATGCACTTAGATGCAAACAGGCACTCTGTGTAGGGATAATGTTTTTTTTTTAACTTACAACAGAGCATAGTAATATATAACGAAATATTTTACTGATGGGTGTTCCAAAACTGACTGACAATTTGTAGAAACCCATTAAAGAAAAACAGAAGAAGAAACTTACAGTTCAAGGCATTCTCCTTGTTTTACTAGATTGTATCATGAATAAATAATATACAAATTGAAATCAGTTAAAAAATGAACTGAAAATCAGTTGCAAAGTTTTTTTAACCAACAGTGCTGCTATCTAGAAAAAAATTTAAAACTTTGCTTTCTGCTACCGACCATTTCTACTGAAATATTTGCACAAATTTCTGTTGACTTTGTCTTCTCACTGCAACGGGTTGTTGCCATGCAAAGAGTGGTTATTTAAAAAATATTGCAGTTTTCTCAGTAAGCAGTACTACCTTTTTAACGAAATTTGAAGCTTGTTGAGAAAAAGTGCCTGTTCTCCTAAGCAGAAAATTATACATTTATTCTATTTCTTTCCATTTTCCCTTGATTATAAAAATTGTTAGTCATACTCGTCAGTAACTTTTAAAATGAAATTTTCATATGTACAGTGTGCAAAATAAAAAACGGATTTTCCTGAAAAACTTTCGATCTAATGATTGGATTTTCACATTCTAGGACTCAATCTTAATGGCTCAAGGGGATGACCTCATATATGCTAATTAATAAATGCAGGCAATATTTTAATTTACAAAATCAGACAAAAAAAACGTACTTTGTCTGAAAGAACATACCTGTTTTTCAACGGATTTGGATTTGGGGGTAGCCGCAATTTGGAAAATATAGTCACTATTGTTTGGTCAGGTCAGCCAGTCAAGACAACTTCTTTGGACTTATGTCCCATATTAGCAGTCAAATTTTTTATGACTTGTATCTCATGCAAGCGGTCATAATTGCGCGACCCTTTTCATTGAATGACATTTTATTTATACAATTATTGTGCTAATGGTAATAAATTCATTTCGCTCCTGTACAATTTTTTTTTATTTCCATAGTTTTGTGCATGTTGTCTATTCATTTGTTATCAGGAGAAAAAAAACAACATTATTTTGTATTTCATTAAACAGTATACTAAGAATACAAAGCTTATTTTTAACATAAATTTTTTTTTAAATCTTAGATCTGTTTTAAGTAAATCAAAACAAGGCATGGTTAATATGGCCTGCAGAAATAGAATCTTATAGATCCAGACTATGCTGTAACTTGTTTTCACTTTTCTTTTATGTAATTGCAGGTTAATGTATGCTCTTTTTATTTAGGAGAAATTGGACCCCGTGGTCCTCCGGGACCTCCAGGTGGACCAGGAATTCCTGGTTTGCCTGGACGAGAAGGACCACCTGGCTACAAAGGTGAAAAAGGAGATGGAGGTTTACCCGGTTTAGAAGGCCTTCCAGGCCAGCCTGGGTTACCAGGAGCACCTGGTCCAAAAGGTGAACCAGGTCCAAAAGGAAGCCCTGGTCTTTCGATTCAAGGTCCAAATGGCATGGATGGTAGTCCTGGTTTAGATGGATTGACAGGTCCAAGAGGAGAAACTGGTCCAAAGGGAGAGAGAGGTAAAGGGTTTTGTTACCTTTTTTCATTTATGTTTTTCTTTAAACTGCTAGCACCTAGTAAACATTTTATGTTTAAAATTTTTGTCAATTCAAAAGCTTGATTATGGACTATGTCTCACTCATTGTCAAATTTGTTTTTATCTTTAGAAAGACTCAGATACTTAAATTGATTTCCTTAGGTACCCCTGGTGATACTCAAGAAGGTACTCCTGGCTTACCAGGCTTGCCTGGTCTAAAAGGAGAAAGAGGTTTTTCTGGATTGCCTGGACGTCCTGGTTTACCTGGGTTAACGGGACCCAAAGGTATAAAAAAAGATAGTTTTTAACACTTTAGAAAAATATAGCTTTTTTATTGTTTATGAATGATAACCCTTATGAAAAGAAAAGAATTTTATGATAAGAAAATAAAAAAATTTCCCTATTAATGTAACTATATTAAATCTTTAGTTATTTACTTAAAAACATTAATTTGTTTTAAACATGAGAAATAAAATCACGGTTGCTTTAAAATATCAAAAAGTGATCTAGGTTTTAATTAAACATAGTTACATGCATTGTTTTATATATTGCGTCGTACTTCAGCATAAAGTAAATTTTAATTGTGTTTTCCCTTAATTAAAAGTTAATGTTTTTAACTTAAGTCAATATTAAATTGGAAGCAATATTTTGACTTAATGCTTTCTTTTTCTTTTAAATATTAACATGAGTTATCTATATATATGTGTGTGCGTGTGATTAAACGATCCACTATCTCTTTATGTGTTGTTAAACATAAAAATGTTTTCAGGTCAAACTGGGGGAAGTTGCATTACTTGTACTCCTGGCATAAAGGGAGAAAAAGGTGAAAGAGGACTGGATGCCTTACCCGGATTACAAGGACCCCGAGGTGAAACAGGCTTACCAGGCCCTCCTGGTCCAAAAGGTGATGATGGATTGTCAGGCTTAATTGGAATTCCTGGTGACGAAGTATGATTTGCATTTCGTTATTTGTCTCATAAATATGAAAAATTTCTTTACAGTGAATGCAATTTTTTGAGTATAGAACTATTTGCATTTGTTTCCATTTTGTATATTAAAAAATCTCGTGTGGTTTAGAAGTTGATTTTTTAAAAATCTATGTGAAGAAATAACCCTTTACATTCTAATAAGAAATTTCTTTCTTGAAAAGAAAATGTTCTATTCTTTTATTAATATATAGGCACAAAAGTACATAAATTTTTAAAAGGAGAATCCATAAAGTGTAGTGGTAATCATTAAATTATTTTAGGAAATTTATATTACACTGGAATCATTATCCCATTAACTGATTTGTAAAGTATATATGCTTGCCTTAAACATGCATAAGAAACAGACTTTAACACCAGCTATTATTGTCATATTGAAACATCATGTTATCACACATTTTAGCCTAATTTACAAATTATATATTTTATATACTAATATATAATTTCCAAATGAGGCTAAAATTCTAATAATATATAATTTCTAAATGAAGTTATACAGAGATTTTAATACTCGTAGAATACTTTCAAGCATTAGTTTTCGGGCAAAATTGATTTCAGTGATCTCATTTTCTGTAAATTCAAATCAATACGAAATGGATGTTCTTCTTTATTTCAAAGGCTTCGAGCCCTTTCACAAATGACGATTGAGGAAGATCATTGGTCCCATTTCGCAGTCTTCATAGGTATCACTATGTTCTCGTTTTGTTATTGTAGGCCGCTAGATGATTCACTGAATAATTCATTTTTAAAATCTACATATCTACACAAATTCATACAGTATGTGACTTATAAAAGGAAAAGACACAAAAACCATTTCTTTCATATGTAACAATTATTATATAAAATAAAGTTTTAGAATATCCATCTTTATTCATGTCAATTTTTCTGGAGATAAGCCTGGAAAACCAGGATTATGCTATGAATTGCTGTAATAGCTTGCCATATTTATAAATTCCTATATACATTTTAATCAACCAAATTACAAATAATTATTTTATGGAATTACTTACTTGCATTACATTTTACAAATTAATTTATTAGCAATAATATTAATATTTCTGTGTGCATTCTATTGGTTTCCAATTACAAATATACTTAAACATCTGGCTTGATTTCAGGGACGACCTGGTATACCAGGGCGTGATGGTGTCAAAGGAGAAGCAGGGCCCCCAGCAGTCATACCTCGAGATTTAGTTGTTGGAGAAAAAGGTATACCTATTTCTTAATGAAAAGTGAACACTTGTGTTTATTGAACATTTATATTAAATATTGTTTTCAGGGGATAAAGGAGATTCTGGCTATCAAGGATTGCCTGGTATTCCAGGAAGAGATGGTTTACCTGGACCACCTGGCTTACCAGGTCCTCCTGGAGCTTTGGGACTAATTGGAGACAAGGTGATTACATCTTCAAATCAATACTCACATTTTACACTTAATAATAAGCCCTTGTCTTAAATGGAAAAATTAACGGAGTAATGAATTGAGATATTAAACAACAAAATTTATTTTTAACTTTTGACTATCTTATTATGCATCTTAATTAAAAATAAACTTGTAATTTAAATTCATTTTCTTTCAGCATTGCAAATTACATAATTATTCTATTGATTTTCTTATCTTAATATTAATTTCCAATTATAAAGACTCATTTGATCACTCAATAATTTAGTTATTTAACCAATTTTCTCATAACATAATTTTTTGAATTATTTAAAAATTTGTGAAAATTTTTGTTTAAATAATTTTTTATTTGTTAAAGATTAAACACAAACTTATCTTTTAACACAAAATAGGGAGCACCAGGGTTTCCAGGAGCACCTGGAAGGCCAGGTGTAGCAGGATTACCTGGATTTCCTGGCCCTAAAGGAGAAAGAGGTTCTGGCATACCTGGAGCTCCTGGTGACAAAGGTGAACGAGGTCTGCCGGGATTTGCAGGATTAGATGGACCTCCTGGTCAAAAGGGTGAACCAGGTAATTTTCCTCATTTAACCTGATACATTTATTTCATTCCATTATTAAATGACCATTTACTCAGGAAATATATAATGTAACTACTGTACTTAAATTAAATTTTTGGATATTTTACTTAACCTTTTTATACATTGCATATGCAAAAAATAAAATGAAATAATCACAGTAAAACAAAATACGAACTACACCAATGTGTATCTTTTTTCTTTAGGAAAATTACCACCACCTGAGGAACTGATATTGCCACCTGGTCCTCGAGGACCACCAGGTCCTCCTGGTTTACCTGGTGCTAATGGTCTTCAAGGATTTCCAGGAGTTGCTGGGAAACCCGGATATGATGGAACTCCAGGTCCTAAAGGAGAATCTGGAGAAAATGGATTACCGGGTCCGCCAGGACCTAGAGGTAAGTTTATTTATGAATCCTATTTTAAAAATTTAAAATAATTTAAAGTCAACTATTTTATCAAAATAAAATTATAAAGTATTTTAATGTATTTGTTGTATATTTCTTATTAATACTTTATTCAGGCTTACCTGGTCCAAGAGGAGATAAAGGTGCTACAGGTCCAATGGGATTTCCTGGTGAGATTGGACAACAAGGTGATGATGGCTTACCTGGTTTACCAGGGCTTAAAGGTAATATCCTTATAACTTGCTAATATGTTTTTGTAACCTTACGCTGCATAGTTTACTTTTTCATTTTCTTGTTAACAATGCACATGGGTTATTATTATTATTTTTTTTTTTATCTTTCTAGAAAATTACTTTTTATATTTTTTGGAATATACTAAATACTCTCTCCATAAGCTAATATGTTCTATGATTGTTCTAAAATTTCCTTGAAACCCTTGAAGCTTTTGTCTGACTATGACTTTCATTTTTTTAGTTTCTGTTATTATTTTTTTAAATTTAATTATATTTTTTTGTTAACATGGTTTCTAACACTACTTAGTTGTTATTTTAAGTGTAGTTTTGTTCGAAAAAATGCATCATTTTCTTTTCGTGAAATGTAGGGTTACTTATGAATTCCAATTATTTTATTGTACTTAGATGCTTAGACATTAACTTAAATATAATTCGTATTAATTTCATAGATTATTATGTTAAACTATATTGTTATGATATTGTTATTTTAAAATAAAACTAATATTAATATTATTGAACGAATAATTTATGTATTCCAGGTACAAGAGGTGAACAAGGATTACCAGGCATTGGACGTCCTGGTCCACCTGGTTTATCAGGATTACCTGGACCAAAAGGGGATCGAGGATATTCAGGGCCTCCAGGACTGCAAGGTTATTGCATTCAAATTAATTTCAAAGAAAATTTGTGTTTCAATTGTGATATAATATTAATCAAAGGGTGTAACTCTTGGAGTTAAGCTCTAATAATAATACAGTAGTAAGTTTAGTCTAAATATTTTATCTTATTTATTAGACAGGAGTCTTAAATTACGTAAAGTCAAACTTAAAAAATGAGTTATCAAAACAATTCACAGAAAATTATGATGAGTATGATGTTTTGATCACTTACGCAAAGGTAATAATTCTCTCTTATCATGCAAGTTGAGAAACTCATTGTCTAATTTATCATATAAGTTGAAAATGTCTATAGCTTTTTTTTCCCTTTTACATTTACTACATTATGCTATGTTAATTCAGACTGATGTCTAAGTTTGCTAATTTATACTAAAATGGAACTTAACTGGACTTTACTTAAACGAACTTGAAAAATCTTGTTTTGCTGAATTTATTATTAATTAATTGTAGTTTAACTCAGAAACATTATTAATGAAATAAATAGAAAATATAGATATTGAAATTTTTCATTAGTAGCTATTTGCACCCCAATGTGCTTAGCAAAGGATCATCATTTTCATCTGTTTTAAAACTGTTTATATAGTATTTATAGTATATGCTTTACTTTTTTTTCATGCCTACAGAGTTATGGAAAATTGATTTTGTAAGGTATTGCTGAATTTATCTTATTTTCTAATAAATATCTCTTTATAATACAGATAATTAAAATGAGATTTCTTGTTCATTTACTGTAAACTAATCAATTCTTGATTTGTCTCCTTACCAAAGGGAACCTTAAGTCTACACTCTAATCTTATTCACATTATTATAAAATTAGCTTCATGTGAATAACAGCTTTCTTATGTATTTTGTTATTTTTTAGAAATATCTCTAGCATTAAAATTATCTAATTTTTTTTTTATCTTCAGTTGACTCTAAATTGAAAAAAAAGAAGACTAGAACAGGGTAGTAAGTGTGGATAGGGAGTTAACGGGAAAGAGAGAGGAAAGAAACTAATGCATCTTATTAGTATTCAAACTAGAATCCTTTATTTCAATTTTATTCACAATGTCTTATATTTATTGAGGATATTATATATTTTGAGGATATTATATATTATATTTATTATATATTTAGAATGAAATAATTATTATAAATGTTACAGGAGAGAGAGGATTACCAGGTTTTCCTGGAGTAAAAGGAGAACTAGGTAGCCCTGGACTTCCTGGATTTTCTGGTGCAAAAGGAGGTAAAGGAGAACCTGCTCGAGAAGGACTGCCTGGGCCGCCTGGGGAACCTGGATTGAGGGGATTTGATGGACAGAAAGGTACTTAAAAGACTTATTATTATATTGTTAGTTAATGCATTTAATTGTATCATTGTATTCTTTTTGAAAAAGATTTTAGAAAGAAATAATATTTGACGGAAATCAGAAAAAAAGAGGTTACTCTACTTTAACTTAATTTATATTAAGATTTAATTTTCTTATGCATTTTTTTCCATTACATTATGATATTCAATCAATCCTAAAATTATTCAAAATGTAACTTTTATTATATTTTTTCTTTTAAAGGTTTTCCTGGGCCAAAAGGAGATTTAGGTCTTCCAGGATTTCCAGGTCTACCTGGCATGAAAGGAGATCCTGGTCTTCCTGGATTACCTGGCTTACCTGGTTTTGATGGAATTCCTGGTCAACCCGGTCAACCTGGACGAGATGGCTTAGAAGGTCTTCCTGGGATACCCGGTAAAATCATTTTGCCTAATTTTATTTTTGTCATACATAATTGAATATTTTCTATACCAACTGAAATCTATATTAAAATTATGTTTTTACATGGCTATTTTTTAAGGTAATTTCTCTTTATTATTTATACTGTATAGTAGAATGAGGAATGTTTTTATGTCTTTAGATTTGCGATATCTACTTTTAAACTAAAAATTCTTAGTGGGAAAATTTGAATTTTAATTGGCCTGAAGATGCAGAGAAATATAATAATAAATATGTTTCATTAAAAATATTTTAATAAAATTTAAAGTCTTGAATTGTTGTTTTAGGTTGAAATTATTATCCAAAAAACGTATTTAATTTCAAATAAATTATAAGTATCTATAGCAAGAAGTTTTAAATGAAAAATAAAACGAAATTACTATTACTCATGATTTGTTTGTTTTGATTATTAAAAATTGTCTGAAAAATAGGCATTTCTGGATAATAGACATCAGAATATAGCATTGTGTACTGTATATCAATTGTAAAAAGGGTGAGAAAATTTTTTGCGCTTTGAATTTTTTGTTTCTTTTTCCTTTGTTGAAATATAAAATTTATTGAGATATATTGTGATAATAGCATCATAATTTTTAAACATAATTTCAGATCTAACAGGTGTGAAAGAGGCAATGGTAAAAATGTATTTAATTTCAAAGAAATAATAAGCATAAAATTATAGCATGAAGTTTTAAATGAAAAATAAAACGAAATTACTCCTATTCATTTTAAATAAGTTTCTCACAGATAATCTTATTTTTATGATGTGTTTTTTTGGCCTAATTTTTTTATATTTTTACAGTAGAAAGTCAAAAAGTCTAAAAATGGAAAGTTTTTATTATCTCTAAGAATAGATTTTTCTGCATAAGAGGAATATAAATTAAAGACCTATTATCTGAGAAAATCTATCTCTTATATATAATTTTCTTATTCAAGCAATTTTGTAAATAATTGCAAAAGTATAAAAAAGGGCAATTTTTTTTCATTTTTGGAAAAGGGGAAAATGATTTGTTTGTTTTGATTATTAAAAAGTGATTGAAAATAGGCGTTTCTGGGTAACAAACATCCAAATGTAGCACTGTGCATTGTATATCAATTGCAAAAAGAGTGATAGAAATTTTTCCATTTTGAATTTTTGTTTCTTTTCCCTTTGTTGAACATGTAATTCGTTGAACTATATTGTAATAATAATATTGTAATTTTCTAAACAATATTTCAGGACAAAAAGGAGAAAGAGGTATTGATGGCTTCCCTGGTCCACCAGGACCAAATGGTTTAGATGGTTTACCTGGATTAATGGGAGAAAAAGGTGATCGAGGCCTCGCAGGTTACCCTGGGACTGATGGCTTTCCTGGAACATCTGGTGTTAAGGGAGAACCTGGTCTACCTGGTTTCCCCGGTTCTAAGGGCCCACCTGGTGATGCAGCAGCTAAAGGAGAAAAAGGCGTACCTGGGCTTCCTGGATTAAATGGTTTACCTGGAGAATCTGGACCACCTGGTAAAAACCGTTTTACTACTAACAGTCTCATATTTAACCCGACTGTGATTAGTTCTCGAACTAATAATCAAATATTAATTTTTATTTTATTCTATTATATTTCTTGTACATTTTACTATATTCCTTCATAATTGTAAGAATAGTTTTTTGTGCAGAAAAACGATATGTAACGCAAGGTTATATTAAACAAAAACAAAAAAAAAATCTCACCAAAAAAACCTTTTCAAATTCAAAAAAATTAGTATTAAAAAAAATAGTTCTGAAGAAATATTAACTTCCCATAATTGTAGCTTATTATGTAACAATTATGGAATTAGACCTATAATAACTTATTATAGAATGTCAATTGTTTTATTCTATCGTATTCCCTATGTATTTTTATAAAGGGGCTCATAATTTCATGTTTCTAAGTCATTGTTTTTGCATATATAACAAAACAAACATTTATACGCTATGTTTAAAGAGTTCCTTATGATTTTTAAATATAAAGAGATTCGTTTCCTATAGGTTTAAGTGGTCTGCCTGGATTAAAAGGTGATGCTGGGATACCTGGCCGAGGATTACCTGGATTGCCTGGTGCTCCTGGTGAAAGAGGTATAGAAGGTGAACCTGGTCCACCAGGATTCCCTGGTGCAAAAGGATCTGATGGATTACCAGGATTTACTGGAAATAAAGGAGAACAGGTTAGTTGAATTTTTACTTTTATCTGTTATCACATCTAGTTTTTTTTAGAATTATAATATTTCATTAAAAATGCTGCAGAAATCAAATTTAATAATAAAATCTTCATTTAGTAAGAGAAGTTTCTATAATTTTACTTTTGATTGGGAATTTTATTTGGTTATTCCAACTATGTAGAAATAAATTGTAAAATAATGTCAGTTTACAAATCCTTTGCGTTTTTTGAAGTAATTGTGTTTGTTTGTATTTTTTCTTCTTCTCCCATATGCATTTTTGGAAGCAATTTTTTTATCTAAGCATAGTTATCTTCCTACTGTTTCTTATTTAGTTAATAATATTTAAATAGGCAACTCACCTATGTAAATCTCTTTTTTTTCCTGGTGATTTCTAAACAGATACATTAAAAATAATTTTTCAATCATCATTTTATAAACAAATTTTTATTTCTTTATAAATTTTAATTAAATATTGATATGGTCATTTAAGCAGAGGATTTAATTTTTCCCCCAACTCAAAAGTGGCAAAAATCTGAATTTTATAGGATTTTTTTCATAAATTTTGCAAATTTTTAAACATTTGCAAACCTATAATACACATGTTGAAAAATATTTTTTTAGGCAGATTAAAAGCACCTGAAATATTTTGTGAATTAAAATTTTATTCCTTACATTAAAAATACAATAAGTACTATATAAAGTTGTATTATTTGAAAACTTTATCCAAACAGGTCATGCAATCAAAATTATCATATAATGAAAATTAATGAACTTTGAGTTGTTTCTCAGCCGTTAACTTATAGTTGTGAAACCAATTCGTTAAAAATTTAAATAATTTCTATAATGTCAATACTTTAAATTCAGCTTTAGTTGTTGTAAGCTAAAAGAAAAAAATCACAAAAGATATGATAAAAAAGATACTACAAACTGACTTGTATCCATCTGTGTATATTGTTTCAATTTGATTTTTATTCAGATTCAAGAATTATTTAATTCAATTTTTTTTTTAAATCATCTGAATACTGTCTTTAACTTTCACAGGGCTTACCAGGTCTACCTGGATTTCCTGGAGCACGTGGATTCCCTGGTCAGAGTGGGTTACCTGGTTTGAAAGGCGATTCTGGATTTTCTGGTATTCCTGGTGTAAAAGGTGAAGCTGGAGATGCTGGACTTCCTGGTCTGCCTGGACCAAAAGGAGAAAGAGGAGATGGCGGTGCACCTGGCCTGCCAGGCTTAGATGGATTTAAGGGAGGAAAAGGTGATCAAGGTTACCCAGGGCCTCCAGGTAAGCTTTTTTTTAATATAAACACTTATATTTGCCAGACAATTTTTAAAAAGCCAGAGTTAAAATAAGTTGCTTGTCTCAAACTCTAGGTAATTCAGTTTTAATCTGTAAGTAAAAATAAGTTAAGAAATTTTCCGATAACATTTAAGAAAAGATATTTTGTTTGAACAGAAATAAGTATTACTTGTGTTAAAAAATCAGTGTCTTTTAATGAATTCTACTTTGGAAGAGTTATTGAGTTTTTCTTTTTATAGTGGAGAATAAGGTTATTAAGAACTTTTCAAAGGTATTTTCTTTTCTTAAATTTGCTACTGCTTTTCAGAAAATTATGTATATATTTCTGAATAAAGTAATTATAATTGCAATAAATGAATTACATAATTCGTTATAGGTCATTTTAAAATATTGGCAGATAATTTATACTGCATTTAAAAGAAACTTAATTTCTAACTGTAATTCTGAGAAAGTTAAATTTATTGATCCGAACCTCATAATAGCTCACATGTTATAGTTTATGTTTTTACAATTGCATATTTAAATAAAATGAACCGTTAAAAAGCACAACAGCTATATCCCCAATAATTAAATTGAGTTTTAAATTGCAGAAGTCACATCAAATCAGCAAAGCAGTCAGCTTTATCTTCTTACTGTTTAAGAAATAAAATTTTCAACTCAAATATTTATACTGCATTTTTCTGTGTTAAATTTGTAGTAATAATTGAATTGATTTAAATTCAGTTTATTGAAATTAAATATTTTTATGCTAAGGTATTATTGTCAGATAAAATTGTCAACATCATATTGTATACTTATTTTAATCTAAAACAGCTGTATTTAAAATTAATTTTTTAAGTATTCTTTTTTAGAAGATATAAAGTCTTAAATACTGCTAAAAGCATTACAAAATATACTTAATATAAATNTATTTTGTTTGAACAGAAATAAGTATTACTCGTGTTAAAAAATCAGTGTCTTTTGATGAATTCTACTTTGGAAGAGTTATTGAGTTTTTATTTTTATAACAGAGAATAAGGTTATTAAAAAGTTTTCAAATGTATTTTCTTTTCTTAAATTTGCTACTGCTTTTCAGAAAATTATGCATATATTTCTAAATAAAGTAATTATAATTGCAATAACTGAATTACATAATTCGTTATAGGTCATTTTAAAATATTGGCAGATAATTTATACTGCATTAAAAAGAAACTTAATTTCTAATTGTAATTCCAAGAAAGTTAAATTTATTGATCCAAATCGCATAGTAGCTCACATGTTATTATAGTTTATGTTTTTACAATTTCATATTTAAATAAAATATTGCCTTTAAAAAGCAAAGCAGCCATATCTCCAATAATTAAATTGAGTTTTAAATTACAGAAATCACATCAAATCAGCAAAGAAACTTGTCAGCTTTATCTTCTTACTGTTTGAGGATAAAATTTTCAACTCAAATATTTATACTGCGTTTTTCTGTGTTAAATTTGTTGTATAATTATTGAAATTAAATATTATTTTTATGCTAAGAAATAATAAACATTATTATCACATAAAATTGTCAGCATCATATTGAATACTTATTTTAATCTAAAGCAGCTGTGTTTTAAATTAATTTTGTAAGTATTCCTTTTTAGAAGATATAAAGTCTTAAATACTGCTAAAAGCATTACAGTATATACTTAATATAAATTCTCAATTGATTAAAAATATAATTGAGACTAATAACTGAAGAAGCAAAAATTATTTAATAAATAAATTGTTTTGTTAATCAAAGTTATTAAATACTGCTTATTGCATTATTTTTATTCACTCTTTTTTATTGCAAAAAATTTAATTAAGTCTGTTATTTAATGGTTTTATTTGTTGGATTTCAGGTGATAGAGCTGATAAAGGAGAAAAAGGAGAGCCAGGATTCTCAGGAATACCTGGAACATCTGGTCAGAAAGGTGCAAGAGGATTTGATGGTATTCCAGGCATTCCAGGTTTGTTACTCTGATTTTTATCATTTATAACTCTATTTCACATTTCTTTCTTAGTCCTACGGAGAACTGATCATAAGACATGGTTCCCAGTAAATTAGGAAAGTCATGCATCACCGGCAAAAGTCAGTGAGTGGGTTGATGATCACTTGGATCTGCTTGTAAAAGGACTGAAAGTGTGTGCGCTGTTAAACTTAGTAAGACTACACAATGTGTGACACAATAAGAAGTAATAAACGAAATGTAATTTTACCTGTTAGCAATTTATAATAATCATAATTGTATAAGAGTTCAAATTTGATACAAGTCTCAAGTTTTTTTAAAAAATTTTGATATTAATGTTAAGATTTATATCTGGCAACATCTAATCTCTTTTTCGTATTTAAAAAAAAATTTTTTTAATTATTATTTTGACATCAAGTGCAAACTTATTGAATAAAGATCTTGAAAGAGAAGTACATTTTTTACAACAATGGATAAAAAATCATTATTTCTATCAAAAAATTAAGTAAATAAGAATTAAGGAAAAAAAACCAGGGCAAGTTTATAATTGAAAAGGGCTCTTTCAACATGTCAAATTTTATCTCTAGATATGCATTTCTATGGCCAATAGATCAGCTTACATGGTCTTTTTTAATACAAGTTCAATAGTTGTTAACTCTCAAATTACTAATTGAATTTTAAATTGTACACTTTTCCACTCTCCTACGTAATTTCAAGCTTCCAAGTTGTATAGTTTTTGCGCAACAAAACCAGATGTAATGAAAGTAAGAAAAATTCAGGGATTAAAAAGCACTTAAAAGTACAATAGTTTTCTTTAAATTGAACATAAATTGAACAAATTAGAATTTCGAAAAAAGCTCATGTTAAATTCATTCACAAAAATGACCCTTACGGCATATAAAATTTCAAGTTTGTAGTTGCATGCCTATATGGTATTTTTGATACAAGTTTGACTATTAATAATTTTCTAATTAAATTTTTCATACCTAAATGAAAGTACTCTTTGTAGATTTCTCTACTCAGAATGTAACATTAAGTTTAACAGCCAAAACAGTGGTAGCGGCGTTCCCACAGTTGTTTTAGTCACAGTGGACTGATAGTAAGCTCCCAGAAGATCACCAAGTGTGGTCAGTGAGTAGGTGGGTGATCACTTTGATTAGCTTGTGAAGGGATAAAATGTGTATTGTATTGGTCCTCAATGAACCGTTTGGTTGTAAAATGCTTGAAGTGGCAACTTAGCAACTTTCGGGCTCCTGAAGCGGTTGCAGAGGACCAAAATTGTCATGGTATATCTTCAGATCATCTTGAGGTCAGATCATCTTCAGATCATCCTAGATTATCGTGTATAGCCCATTGTGCAGATGTTTTGCAACGTAAACAATGCACTACATAAAGTAATGCTTCTTTTTGCCATATTTTGTGCATAACATTTCATAATGTATCTTGTCTTTTTTTGTCAAGTTGAATATTTTGTTATGAACTGAAACTTATGAATGAAGTTCTTTTGTTTTCCTATCACTTTTGATTTGTCAAGCTTTTTTATTGAAAAATAAATGAGTTACTCTTGATAATAATTTTTTATTGTTACTTGTTTATACATATTTATTTATTTTGGAGATTAACTCTAATTGTACAATTCTGAAAAAGCTCAACTTTTTCTCTTTCCTTTCAATAAATTAAATTTAATCATCATGATAAAGCGGGAAATCAGTATCTATCCCATAGGTGGTTGCTTAATTTCTTACAAGTAGTTTTGCATGTTCATTTATGAGTAGGCACCTAATAATTTATTAATTTCTAGGGATAAATTACATTGTTGTGATATCTTAAATTAATTGAAATTCAATTAATTGAATTATTATTTTTGTTATAAAAGTTTTGTTATTTACTTTTATGTTAAAAGAACTATAGTTATTATAAAAAAAGATTTGTGTGTGTTTTTAAAGTAATAGAGTATTAAAATATTAAATAAATTACTTTTTGAAAGTCTTTTTATGATTCACCAAAATATATTGCATTATTTGTAAAATATGTATATATATTTAAATTTAGGTGCAAAAGGTGACCCTGGTTTACCTGGTTTAGGTGGCTTGCCTGGAACTGAAGGCATTAGAGGATCACCTGGTAATTTGTTAATTTTTTAAATGTATGCTTTTAATTTCATGTCATTGATGAAGATTTATGGTTTGTATTAATTTAATCAGTAAATTAAAAAAAATTGTTTAATTTTTTTTGCAAAACACCTATAACATTATTTTAATTATTTCTAATGTTCGCTTTTAATCCAAATCAATTTCCATACAAAATGAAAGTGATCCAGAAAAATGTTATGTCTAAGGAAATGCAAAAAACTAAAAATAATTGTACTAAATTAAAATTTTGACACTAAGTTGAAACATATTTAAGCAGGTTATAATGGCAATTTGAAAAATACACCATACTAAAAAGAAATGTTCCAAGTGTTGAAACACATCATAATTAATGTACTGTTAAATTTATTTAAATATTAAGTTTAATTTTCTTTTACACTTCTAACATTTCAAATATTTTTTGCACTTTTTTCAATTTTATAATTAATTGCCAGTCAATTTTATAATAATTAACTGGTCAATTTTTCAATTGGACTTAGAATGCCAGACTTCTAGCATATAAATTTTTTTATCATTATAAAACTTACTAGGCAAACTCAATGTTTACACTTTCGTTTTAGGAGAACCTGGTTTACCTGGTCTTCAAGGACCACCTGGCCGACCTGGTGTAGGAATAAAGGGTAATCAGGGATTACCTGGAAAACCTGGAATTGATGGATATCCTGGTGTGCCTGGAGCTAAAGGTAAATTTTGTTTAAAAATTGTGTTAAAGTTTTGCTAACTTTTAAAACTTTTACTATTCCTAAAACTGTAAGTTTAAAATATTTAAATATATTAATCTGTATTGCATTTGGACAAATTTGGGTTTAACTAATTTAAACTGTAATCTATTTAAATAAAACAAAATTGTTTATATTTAGTTGTTATGAATGTTTTTTTCACTAGTTTGAAATTTGCAACTTAATTCTATTAGATAAGATCTTGGGAAATTATATTAAGTACACATTGAATTTTTTATAGAAACATTTAATTTAGATTAAAAATAATTTTCTTCGTTAGGTATCTAATCAAAAGCACAATTTTTAAAGCTATTTCAACTCTTTACACTATTTCCCTCCTAATAATGAAAATAACAGGGCATAGTACTGAATCTGAATGAAAATAACAGGGCTCTCAAATGGTTCTCTTTTCTCCATTCCGAAGTCCATTTTTAAAGTAATGTCCTCTTAATGTTTTGGTTCACTTTTGAATGATTTGAAAATAATTTTAAAGAAGTGTTTTAATTACATTAGAATTGAGATACAACTCTAGTTCGGGCATCACAAATACTGCATGTAGTAGTTTGTCCAAACTGGATTCGGGCGACACTGACAATAGGTTAAACTTCGTTATTAGAGTACCCTTCCTGTAAACGGACAGTTTTTCGGTTCCAAGAGTGCCCACTTAACCGAGGTTTCACTATATATAAATAAAACTTGAAAAATAAAATTTCCTGCAATTAAATTTTGTAAAGATGAATTAGAGGTCATATACTTTACTATTTTTAGAAGTTAATAACAAATGCAGTTCAGAACCCGTTATCCGGAAATCAGAAAACCAGAAAACCAAAAAGAAATTCGATAAATTTTCGCTCCATTTAAAAAAATATTTTTTTTTCCTCATAAGATTTTAGGATTTTTTTTTCTTTTTTGAAAGATGTTTACCTTACCATCATTTTGGAAATAATCATTAGTGTATTCCTTCATCGTTTTTTCTTCTTTTTAAGATTATTTCCAAAAAAAAAAATTTTTTTTTAGTTGGGTTTAACAATAAAAAAAACGGCTTTTTGTAGCGATTCAGAAAACCGGAAAAATCAGTTATCCGGAATAGCGATGGTCCCGATCGTTCCGGATAATCGGTTCGCTGCTGTATATGATTAAGAGTAGTTGTTTCAAAATTCTAATTTGATCTCTTCATACTATTTATTTAAACTATCATATTGACAATTCATTAATCACAAAAATCTTAATGCTAAACTGAAAGGTTGTTCACAAATTGATTTGTTATCTTATCTAATACATATTATTAATAAATACATTTACAAAATTTATATGATATAGATTTATGACTTAAAAATTTGATTAATCTCTTTATCATTTTATTTTTTTAAAGAAATTTAATTATTTACACTGAAATAAACACAACTTTGTCAAATGGATGAATTGAAGGACAATGCTAATTTACTTTTGACAATTAGTTTGACTCTTTATAACGTCATTGAAACTTTTTTTAGTTATTTGATTTTTTTAGTTATTTGATATTGAAACTGCTAATATTGAAACTTATGTTTAAATTGAAAAAACACTTTCCAAAAGGTTTTTAATAAACTTGTAATTTTTACATTTATTTATCTCTATGATTATTGTGATTGTACCCAATTAACAATTTATTAAATAATAAAAATTTAACACGATCATTTAGTAATTTAAAAACAATATGATTTTATTTAGGTGTTTATAATTCGCCTGATTCACAACATATCTTTATCAATTCGGTTCAATTAATAATATTAATTTAATAGAAAATAAATAGTGGGTTCTTTGTACTTTGTAGAGCAAAAATTTTTCAGATGTGACGAAGTCAATAAAATATGGGAATTATAAATGCAACATTGTAGGTGCTCTTGAAAAATGGTTTAAAATATAGTTTCTTATGACAATTTTTTTCTCTTTTCTTTTAATAATTATTACACAATTTCTGTAGCAAGTGTTCAAAGTGTGCAATACTAAATAAATTTTGAGAACTTACACAAGCATCAGATTCGTTTAGTCTTTATTCAATAAATCTTTTGAAACTCCTAACTTGTTTTTTAAAACACCAACAAAAAGAGCAGTTTCAAAAATTAGTGCTCTTTGAAAATTAATTACTAAGTTAAGAATTTTTTGTTTCATTTTTAATTTGTTGGTAGGATTCTATATCTGAATGAATTCTGTTTAACTGATTTTCTACTGCTTATCAAAAGAAAACTAACTAAATCATTTATTGCAGTACCTGATTATAAATGCTCTTAACTATAAGGGTTTCTCTGGAGACCTCTTTTAAACTCTAAATGATCCTCCAAAATCATATATTCTTAACTACAAATGGCCCTGAAACATATTGAGAGCCCTGAACTGATTTGTTTTTTTTAGAGAAGTTTCAAAGCTTGCAAGTTAGTGGATGATTTTCTACATGCATGGTCAGCAGAAGTACGAAATGCTATGAATATGCCTTCTATATTTCCATTGCAACTTCGACACACCAAGAACTAAATTAATTTTGCAACTTAATTACATTTCTAAATTATTGTATCTTGATAAAAAGAAGTTTATGTTTGTCACTAAAATTTTTTTTATAGGCGATGCTGGTTTACCTGGACTACCTGGTGTACGAGGTTTACCTGGTGATCAAGGCTTGCCTGGTTTACCAGGCTTAAAGGGTGATTCTGGACAACCTGGTTTCCCTGGACCGCCTGGAAGAGATGGCTTTCCTGGTGTAAAAGGAGAAAGTGGTTTGACTGGATTTCCTGGAGCTAAAGGAGAGAGAGGCTTACCAGGATTAGAAGGACCACCTGGATTAAAAGGCTTACCTGGGCCGGCTGGTAATAACCAATTTAATTGCTTCATTTCTTACAATGAGGTTTGTTTCTAAATGAATTAAAATTATAGTTACCACCTTGAGCATTATGTATAATGCTTACTTATAGGTCGTGAAGGTCTTCCTGGACTGCCTGGATTCCCTGGTGCCAAAGGAGATCCCGGATTATCAGGCCAACCTGGATTTCCTGGAGTTAAAGGAGATAGTGGATTACCTGGTCTTCCAGGCTTAGATGGAGCTCCTGGTAGTATATTTAAATGTATCAATAATATAAATTCTAATAAATTTAAAATAAAAATTTTGAATATATTTATCTTCTCACAGCATTTTCTTATTAATTATCAAATATTTTTAAAAAAATAATGGCGAATTTTCATGTTATAAGGAAAGCATAACAGCTGCCTTTGCTACATTTCACTACGCTTTAAATGAATGAGAACTATAATGGAGACAAATAGTTACAATCAACATATTTTACAGGAGAACCTGGTGCATCTGGTATCAAGGGAGAAAAAGGCTTTTCACCCCCACTGAATTTATTGAGAGGACCTAAAGGAGAACCTGGTTTCCCTGGTACACCTGGCGAGGCTGGACCACCTGGACCAAGAGGATATGATGGACCTCCAGGATTACCTGGTTAGTAATAAAATAAATCTGTATTGATGCTTTTATATTCAAGCTGCAGAAGTTTATTTCATTTACTTTTCGATGTACACAAAGAGTTTGTTTTCATTAATATAATATTATTAAACATAAATTTCTGAGTTAAATGAAACATACTTTTAAAGTCCATGAAATGATTTGATATAACGTTTTAAGCTTTTTGCTCTGACCTCTGTACATTACTTTAAATGCTCTCAGGTTTCAAAGGGGAACAAGGACGTGCTGGCCAATCGGGATTACCTGGCCTGCCTGGACCTATAGGTATTAAAGGTGATCGTGGTGTAGCTGGTCTGCCAGGCCCACCTGGTTTGACTGGTTCTAAAGGACAGCCGGGACCTGCTGGACTGCCTGGTATACCCGGAGGTGATTATCTGATGGGCATTCTACTTGTAAAACACAGCCAGTCCAACTTTGTTCCACAGTGTCCTCAAGGAATGCAAAAGCTTTGGGATGGTTACAGTCTTTTATACATCGAGGGTAATGAAAAGTCACACAACCAAGATTTAGGTATGAAATTTTTTGTATAAATATTTTAATTAAACAAAGTGACATGATTGCTTCATTCTAGCTGCTGCTAAAAAAAGTTTTGCATAAAATAAAAAAGGAACTTGTTTCAGTTCTCTTCTCGATGTACTCCAGACTTCTACATGCTAAATATTTCTGGGGAAAATGTTATCTAGTTTATTTTTTACTAAATCACTAGACTTGCACAAAAATAAATAATAAAATTTTCATTAAGAAAAATTTGTTATGTTAGTTACTTTTTTGTTGTTAATTTAAATATTTTTAACAATTTTACTTAATTCCAAAGAACAAAATGTATTCATGTGCTGTAGTATTAAATAAAATAGATCTACAACATATAAGAGTCGAAGTATAGTTACTAGAGATCAGCGGGATGGAGAAAGCATCTACAGTCAAACCCCGCTATAGTGAACCTTCAAGGGACCGAAATTTTGGTTCACTATAGCCGAGAGTTCACTATATCCGTTATGCGGGCAATTTAACTAATGGTTCCCAAATTCCTTCCTTTTATTACACTTTATTCAAATAAATGACTGAAAAATATTATGTAGTAGCAAAAAATTTGTTCTTTTTTATAACTCTCCGTCCTGCGTACAAAAAAAAAGTAAAATTAGTAATCTTTAGCTGATGAACAATCCTCAACATCAGATATGGAAACACTTCCCGACTCTCAGATAATTTTTCCTGAATTTCTGTTAGTCCACTTTTTAAACTTGTCTAACCTGCCATTCGAGCACATAAAATTAACCTCATAAAATCGGATAGCAAATTTATCGACATTTGTTCAGATACTGGAAGATTGCGGCTTCTTTGAATGCTGAACCACTTCAGTAATGCTTCTTCAACATCCTTGCGATCCGCTTTTCTCCACTTTTTTCTGCCATTTAAATTTTTTTCATGAGCAGAAATTGTTAACTGCCTATTTTTCCATATGTTACGAACTGTAGATTTGGATAGTTTATATTCCCTGCAAATATCAGCTTGATTGCATCCATTTTAAATATTTCCGATTATGCTCATTTCATCATCAAAGGAGAACATTTACGTTTATTGCTCGTCATAGTTAAATTTGAGACACTTGTTTGCAGGCTTTTTTTTAACTACACTGAGAGCAAAAAGGAGTTGAAATGAGGGCCTTATCAACACATATTAGTGTCCAACCCTTTGACCAATAATGAATAATTACTCATTCCCTCTGACAGAAAATGCATATTGATCCCACTGACACCTTACAGGTGCATCATCTGCCTGGGTTGGAAACATCTGCTTGGTTTGTTTAGGGATGGGAAAGTGAGATAAAAGAAGCAAACAAGAAAAAATGCTTATCGCTACATTCCCCTCTATAGATGGTTTTAAAAATCGGTATATGTATTTATTTTGAAGTAGAAATTTCAAAATTATAACAAAAAAATGGAGAAAAAAATCAGTCGAAGACAGAAAAAACTTTATTATATCCGACTTCATCAATTTTTTGGTTCACTATATCCACAAAAAATAACATTATACGGGTATAGCAAGGCACGGGACCGAACATTTCGTTCACTATATCCGGGAGTTCACTATATCCGGGAGTTCACTATAGCGGGGTTTGACTGTATATGCAAACACTTATAAAAATACTTATTATATCATGTAAACAATCATTTTCTTCTTTTATCTTCATTATTTGTGCTCTTATAGCTTGTTTAAACTTCTTTTAATACAACATTAGTTATTTTTTAAATTAAATTAAATTGTTTAAAATTACTGCTATGAATCTAGTTAGTTAGTTGCTTACTTAAATGATTTTCCATTTATTGCAGGTTTTGCCGGGTCTTGCTTGAAAAGATTCAGTACTATGCCATTCCTGTTCTGTGACTTCAATAGTGTTTGTAACTATGCTAGTAGAAATGATAAATCATACTGGTTATCCACCAATGCTCCAATACCAATGATGCCAGTCGGTGAATCTGTAATTCAAGAATACATTAGTAGATGTGTTGTGTGTGAGGCACCAGCAAATGCCATAGCCGTTCACAGTCAATCTCTCAATATACCTAACTGCCCAGCTGGATGGAATGTGCTTTGGATTGGATACAGTTTTGCAATGGTTAGTGTAATATTTTACAATGTAGCCTTTTTTAAATTCCTAATCTCCATGTTTTCACAGCCATTTTATGCTTAAAAAATTTAATTTTCAGTGATAATTATTGAAGATAGGTTAAAAATCTATCCACAAACTATAACAGTAATCTTATCCACCATAATCCGAATATTTTAAGCATCCGAAATAGTTCATTTCCGATTTATTTCATATGAGCGAGGTTCTGATATACTTTTAACCATTACAGTACACATTTGCCAAACTACAAAATCCTGTAGATCAGCTGTTGCAAACAAGAGGAGTTATATTCTATTGTCAACATAAATGTCTGCAAAGGCAAAAAACATGTATTCAAAATGCTTGTGGTTCATGACTAACATTTGCTTTGTATTTTTATTAAATTAATATCCTTTGTACTTAAAAAAGATGGACAAAAATATGTTTTAATTTCTAGTGATTATTTTATTGTAATTGCCGACCGGACTGTGTAAGTGTCAGGGAACTGCCCTTGCATTAGAAAGGTTCTGGGTTTAAATCCCTGGCAAGGCATGGATGTTCTTTCTTTCTCTGTACTATCTGTCCTTACTGTGGGAGCGACGTTGGCCCACCTAATAAGGTGCTCCTGAAAGAATAGCCAACAAATCTGCCCTGTAAATACCTGAATTGAAGAAATGTTAACACTGGTGGGCATCGGGAATAATTGCTGTCCGGACTATGTAGGGGCCAAGGAACTGGGCTTGCATCAGTCAGGCTCTGGGCTCGAAAAACCCCTAAAAGAGTGGCTAACAAATCAGATGCCTGTATGACGAAAAGTCATTCTCCAGGTGGTCACTAGAAGAAAAAAAATTATTGTAATTTTTTTATTAAATATAGTAATTTTTACCAATAAATCAGTAACTGTCGTAAAAACTATATTTTTTGTAGTTAATTGCAACTGCAACTAATTTATCACAAATGTAAACTACACCTACTACAATATTTCTTAAAAGTTGTGATTATAAACCACTTTCAAACTGTAGACATTACTAACAAACCACTTTCTATTGACTACTTTTAGAAGACGAATTTCGATGGGGGAATCACTTTATACTCATTGTTCAAAATTAAAAAACAAAATTCATGAAAAAATCGTTTATAATAATAAAAAGCCAATTTTTTTACGAATTTTTTTATTTTATCCTTTAATTTTTCACAAGATTTGTTTCCAGGAATGCTAGAAAATTATCAAATATTTGGATATTTTAGTATTGAAAGCCTAACTGAAGCAAGAGAGAAAAAAAAGACAAGTGTATCAAGTGGAATTCCTATTGAATCCTTTAGAACTCACATAAGNAATGGGAACAAATTAAAGAAAGAAGCTTGGGGATTCCTTTCCGCCAGTGTATTGGAAGCCTTTTGTATTTAACTTGTGGAACTCGACCAGACATGACCTTTTCCACCACATATATGAGCCAGTTCAATGAAAAACACACAGAGGAACACTGGAGGGGTGTGAAACATATCCTTAGATACCTGAAGGGAACCATGCACAGAAAACTAAAATATAAGAAAACTGGTAAGCCACTATTAGTGTATTCTGATGCTGACTGGGGGGGAGATAGAACTGATCGCAAGTCATACAGTGGTTATCTTATAATACTTGCTGGTGCACCTGTCTCATGGTCCAGCAAAAAACAACCTACAACTGCCTTATCCTCAACTGAGGCAGAGTACGTTGCAATGTGTCACGTAGCGAAAGAGGTGTTGTGGATGAACAATCTCCTGAAGGAAATATGTTATAAGTTAGTGTCTATTCCTCAAGATGTATTTGTGGACAACCAAGGAGCAATGTTTCTGGCTAAAAACCAGATAACATCTGATAGGTGCAAACACATCGACATCAAGTATTTTTTTCTTCGAGACTTGGTGAGCAGTGGGCAGATCGCTTTCCAATATATCCCGACGAAGGAAAATGTGGCAGACCTCTTTACAAAACAAGTACCAAAGAGAACTTTGATCAACTTTAATTATGCTGTGACTTATTAGACTTAAGGACTAATTTATCCTGTTTTTCTTCATACTCCGAATATTTTAAAATGTAGTGTATAGTACAGTGTTACAGGCAAGGAGGAGTGTTAAAATACATGCCTTTAACAATGTTATTTTTCGAATCACATTTCTTTGTAATGGCAACATTGGTTTTTATCTAGCGATACTGTTGTTGGCAACGGTTGTTGCAAGTTAGTTTGTTTACATTTTGCTATGCTGGTAACGGCATCTTTTCTCCTTTCTGTTAAATAAATATAGTATAATCTAGACCACAATACATTTCTGTAATGTTTTTAATTCAAATTTAACATTCAAAACGCTTGTGGTTCATAACTAACATTTGCTTTGAATTTTTATTAAATTAATATCCTTTGTACTTAAAACTGATGGACAAAAATATGTTTTAATTTCTAGTGTTTATTTTATTGTAATTACCGACCGGACTGTGTAGGGGTCAGGGAACTGCCCTTGCATTATAAAGGTTCTGGGTTTAAATCCCGGGCAAGGCATGGATGTTCTTTCTTTCTCTGTACTATCTGACCTTACTGTGGGAGCGACTTTGGCCCACCAAATAAGGTGCCCCTGAAAGAATAGCCAACAAATATGCCCTGTAAATGCCTCAATTGAAGAAATGTTAACACATTGCTGACCGGATTATGTAGGGGCCAGGGAACTGGCCTTGCATCAGTAAGGTTCTGGGCTCGAAAAACCCCTAAAAGAGTGGCCAACAAATCTGCCCTTCAGATGCCTGTATGACGAAAAGTCATTCTCCAGGTGGTCACTAGAAAAAAAAACTTTATTGTAATTTTTTTATTAAATATAGTAATTTTACCCAATAAATCAGAGTAACTGTCATTAAAACTATATTTTTTTGTAGTTAATTGCAACTGCAACTAATTTATCACAAATGTAAACTACACCTACTACAATATTTTTTAAAAGTCGTGATTATAAACCACTTTCAAACTGAAGACATTACTAACAAACCACTTTCTATTGACTACTTTTAGAAGACGAATTTCGATGTAGGAATCACTTTATAGTCATTGTTCAAAATTAAAAAATCAAAATTCATGAAAAAATCGTTTATAATAATAAAAAAGCCAATTTTTTTTACGAATTTTTTTATTTTATCCTTTAATTTTTTGCAAGATTTGTTTCCAAGAATGCTAGAAAATTATCAAATATTTGGATATTTTAGTATTGAAAGCCTAACTGAAGCAAGAGGAAAAAAAAAGAGAAGTATATCAAGTGGAATTCCTATTGAATCCTTTAGAACTCACATAAGATTTGCACTCAACTCATTAAAAAAAATTATTTGCGCTTGAACCTTATTTCTTAACTGAACTAACACTAAAAGTAGATGCAAGAAATCATTACAAACTTTTTTTTTGTATTGCACTGCTTGCTAAGCCGCTTCTTTTTTTAAAAAAAGCACCATGTTAGTCTATAAACTACATAAAAAAAGTAGTGGCTACAGTAGTTTTGTTACTACTAGCATGTTAGTTCTGATTTCTGGTTTAGAGACTGCCTTAACTGAAAGAGAAATGTGTTATATGTATTAATATAAAATGTTATTATTCTGATATTATAAATCAATCAGTATATTAAGTTTGCTGCAAGTACTTGATGGGAAGTACTAATTATGTATTTTCTCGATTATAGCATACAGCTGCCGGTGCAGAAGGAGGTGGGCAATCCCTTTCTAGTCCTGGAAGTTGCTTGGAAGATTTCCGCGCCACTCCTTTCATAGAATGTAATGGTGCACGTGGTACATGCCATTACTTTGCAAACAAATACAGTTTCTGGTTAACAACCATTGAACCCAACGACCAATTCTCTCGTCCCGCTAGCACGACTCTTAAAGCAGGAAATTTAAGAACGAGAATAAGTCGCTGTGCAGTATGCATAAAAAACTCAAATTATAATGGACTTTAAGTGAAGACGTTGTGACTTTACTCATTGGTGCCAATTTGTGCCTTTCATTTTTGTTTTTAATTTTCTTTAAAGAAGTGTATGGCACGTTTTTTTTTCAAAAAAAACAAAAAACTGGAAGATAAGTTAGAATTACTCTGGTAAGTGTAATATTTTTCTTTAAAATTAAATGCTGTATTGATCTCTAAATTTATTTACATAAATGAATTGGAATAATTTATTTGAATGAGAATAATTAATTAAATTAAAGAGTTGACTGAAAATAATTTTATTTCCATTTAGTACATCATAGAATTGACTTGATGACATTGTAATGGATAATTATAATACTATATGAACTTTTTGTGTTATTTTTGAAGATTTCAGTTTTTATTTTGTGTACATTATCTTTTTTGACATTTATCACTTAAATTTTAGTTATAAGTTGTGTTATTTTTTAAAAATAACCAAATTTGAAAATTTTTTAATAGAATAAAAATAAAAAAAGATATTGATAGTATGCATTTATTTATTTACTAACGTATATTGTGTGACAATGCTGCATGATGTATGTCAGCATTTACTTTTTATGTTTTTTATGAGACTAAATTGTTGTAACATCTGCAAAGCTTTGTGAACGTTTCATTCTATTATGTTTTGTTAAAAAATATGCAGAAAAATTATAAATTTTACTTATTGTATAAAATATTTAAAAATTAATATTTGAAATAAGAGGAAGTTTCTGTCTGAAATCATATATTTATAATACGCTAATGAAATGTCATAATATGCTGATGGGAAAAAAAATTCATTTTATTTGTTTCTTTCCTCTTCATTTCAATTATTTATTTACACAAAAAAATTTTAGTGTTTTTATTCCCGATTTCACCACTACTAAACTATTTTTATCTGTGTGTTGTACAGTGCAAAATTATGCAGTAAGACAGAAATATATTTCTGAACAAAATATCATTGTAATTTTATGATTGCTGTACTTATGACAATTGCCTTGTGCCATACTCTTTTAACTGCACACGGTCACTGTAACTATTTTATTAATTGTAAGTAGAAATAATTTGTCTAATATATTTTTGTACATATTTATAAATTATTTTTATAGTTTATTTTCAAAAATATAAAAAATTTTATCATGATAGTAAAATTTATTACTTTTTATCAAAATTCTGGACGGTGATATTCTTATGAATTGACTTACTTCAATGAGGGCTAAGAGATAGTGTTAAATTATTAAACGCTAACACTGCCAAATAATGTTTTTTGTCTATAAATGAAGCTTCAAGCACGTATCACTGCCATCTGTCTAAGTCCTAGTCTTTACTTTTATACATATATAACTGTTTTCCTTTTTTTTTCTTCATGTAAAGTATTCAGATCGATATGCTGCTCTCTGTAAGCTTCTGTGTTCAATAAAATTGTTGTTAAAAATATTTCTTTTATTTGTTGCCTTCTATTGGTTTTGTGAAACTAGTTTTATTTATTTTTATAAGAATCCTTATTTAGATACTTTAAGCAATGATTTAGATCAATTTATGTACGCGTTATGTGTGCTCTGAAGTAACTGAGCATTGGAATTTATCTCTAAAAAAAAACATTTCCTTCGTAATTTTCAAAATTTTAAGTCGTAAAAAATTCTTGCAAGTTGCGTAAATGTGTCTTTACATATTAACCAAAAAATAAATTTAGTTAAATTAAAAAACATTTATATTTTGGAAAAGGGCCAAATGAAGAGAGGTTTTACTTTGTGCTATATATGATTAAAGCAAAATGACCTAAATACAAAACAAATAAAAGCGATAAAAATTTATTACTAATGTTCATATTATAACATATATTTGTGCTTTATTTANTATATTTACTTTATTCTTTTAAAATGAGCCTAATGTTTTCTTTTTCAGGGTTACTACCTTGAATTAAAAAAATTATTAAAAATCTAAGTATGAATCAAACTTTAGTTTTCAAGTACAAAAATACAAATATTCGAAGGAACAACAATCAATAAATTATAATGAAATGTATGTTTAGGTCTCTGGGAATCTACTGGAGAATCTTATTCTTTTCAATAGCAGATACATATATTTTCAACCTAATCTTTAAACTTAGTTAAGTACATTTATGTTATGTTATTATTAAATGTACTCAGATATGTACATTTAGGAGATCTGAATGTTACATTTCATGAGTAATTTTTTTACTTGTTACTTCACATTCTGAACTGTACATTTTTGAAATTCAAGACTAAAATTATTTTTGTATTTATACTTTGAAAAAAAATTAAAATTTGCACTTTTGTCCTCTCAAAAATCAAATTTTATGCCCATTCTGCTAGACTAAATATTTTTTATTTAACTAAACAGTTTTTGTTTTGCCAATAAATATGGGTCTAGGCTGACAAATTTTAATCGATTTTAAATTTAGAAGAAAAAAAGTGTACACTTAGCTGCGCATGCCCACAATGAAGAGACTTCAAAACTGTGCTTGTACTGTTAGTTCAGAATGTGCGTACATGACTGTGAGGGAATATGAAGCATTAATGTGAAAGGTCTCTGTTATTTACAAGGAGTTTCTAATTCCTACACTAAATGCAATTCCTGATTACTACGCTGGGCTACTCTATATGCAATTTCTGATTGTGGGCTCCTGATTACTTAGATTTATAATACACTACATTAGCCAATTATGATAATCTCAAACATTGCTAAAATTGAAAAATCTAAACTGCAAAGTCTGTCATGTCAAAGTTTAAGAGATGAATCCCTCAAGTTGTTCAGGAATTAAAAATTGAACTGCTTATATATTTTTTAAAATTTAAGTTTTCATCCTCTAAACAATAAGCACTTACCAATGCACTACTTTTCAATTTAATGACATAGGGAAAAGTTAACTCGCCAATGTGAAAGAAGTCTTAGTCAAACTTTTAAATGATAAAAACATTTTGCGTATTCAAACAGTTGTAAAGAAAGAGAAAAAGAAGATTTACTCTATTTACACTAACATGATAGAGTAAATCTTCTGTTTCTCTTTCTTTACAGAATGTAATCAGAAGATTTATTCTGATTACATTAGCTGTTCATAGTAAACGTTTAATTATGAAAGGTAAGTTATTAAAACAATTATTTGCTAAATTTTAAACAAAATCCTATTGTTTTGTTTGATGAAGGTATTTTCACTTCAAAATAAAGCTGACCTGGTTATTGATTTTGGGACGTTCTTAAAAAATAGTTAGTCTTTGATGCAGTACTATAAATGGTTGGTTTTACTAAATAAATAATTATAATTCAGAAAAAAATAATGAAAACATAATCATATACCGTCAGTTCTCTGTTTTTTTTTCCATCATAGATAGGACGTGTTCTCTGAGGTGACCACTAACATGAACTAGCATATTTGTTTTAACATTCTAGAACATGCCTTGTGTTTGCCTTTTTGACAACGTCTTTGTGAATCATTTGATGATACCCCTATTTTTCTTGGTGACAACAGCAAAGACTGGATTTATGAGTATTCGCACACCCTTTTATTTCTTAATTCGACTGTAAAATCACCTGATTTAAACCTTGTAGAAAATTTGTGGTATATGTTGGAACTGCAGGTAAAACAACCTAATCAGGTAGGCTTGTGCTATCAAATTCTGCCAGAGACTTAACTATATCACTGAGATGAATAAATCAATCAATTTTCATAATTTTGTGATTGTGGATGGCAACTAGTCATTTGCACTATTCCTATAGGACGATTCATATTCCCATTCCAATAGAAACGTATTTTCATCACTCCATCTGTAATTGATTGATTATTGATGGGTTGTCAGTTGATAGGTAAGTGAAGTAACATCAGTTTAGACATCTCTAGATATTCTCGGTGCTCAGGATCCTTAAAAAAAAAAGCCTAACGTATAATAGAGATACCTAAGCTGACGTCACTTCACTACTTGCAGGAAATTTATCATTGATCAACCAGAGTCGTTTGATTTCTAAATAAAATGGTACAAACAACTGGTTGCAATTAACCCCATTATTACGGTAAATTGTTGAATAATAATATTCAATATTGTTACATTTCATCTAAATTGCTAAGATTATTACCACGGCTATACCCATTTGGTTGAAAGTGAAGCGGTTTAGCCATACTTTGATGGGTTTGAAATGAGATTTTTTCATGTTCTAGAATTAGAGTAGAAATTTTTTACATATCTCTTAGGAATACTAATTTTCAGTTGGACTTTAAAACTGGAATGATTATTACCCGATGAACAAATCTCGATAAACTAAAGAATTAAAAAATTATTAATAGATATAATTTATGTTAAATTTACGTCAAAAAAATAATTTGTCTAACTTTCAGAACCCTCCCTAAAAATTTTCAGCAATTATAAATCACTGTAACTATTTCAAATCTAATTGAGAAAAATGTAATAACCAGGGACTAATACTTAAGGACGATCCAATCACGAAGCATTTCTTGAAGTTTCTATGTTAATTGTTTATTAGTTCAAAAGAATTAATGGTACACTTCATCCATGTTAATACGCATTAAATCCAACATTGAATTGAATATGAAAACAGGAAAAATGATGAGAAATTAAAATATCTAAAATAAACGTATTTTTGTCTTCATTAACAAACAACATCCTTAACGATTTAACATCTTAGCATTACAAGAACTAAAATAAAACAAGTGACCAAACGATTATAAAGATCTTGATAAATTTAAGTGAAAATAATAAAAGAAAACGATTGACTCATAAATGAATCAATCTAACTGATAGTTAAACTTTTGCCATAGCGTGGCGTGCTTAAACGGTTTTGGCCAGTCTGTTGCCATATTGACTCAGATTCATTAAAAAAAAAAAAAAAAACTCGTCTTTTAAAACAGTGTAGCATTAGAATTGAAACTCTTAATATATATCTCTGTTTAAATAACTATCAAATAGTGCTAAACACAGTTTAAAGAAAGAAAAGAAAATGGAAGAAAGAAAAATTGGTCGAATTAAATATCGTCTGATTATTTAAATAACATATATTAATTTTTATTTTATTTTAGCATTTGAGTGGCATAAAGAAGATTCCACTGTTTCTCATAACAATAATTTCTGTAGTATATGAAATATATGTTTCAAAGTTGATAAGTTAACATCTTGGAAAGTAATGGGAAAATGGAAAATTACTTTGAAATAACAACTATTCATTACTCAATTAATAGACTAAAATATTATGACCTACTTTAACTTCGAATTCCTAATAAATTTCTATGAAGCAAAAGTGAGGACATTATCAAGATTCTCTGTTGAAAAAAAAAATATTTTATGCAGCACGTAAGTACTTTTCTCAATTTCTCTATCTCTCTTTATTTTAATAATCGGAAATCAATAAGAGGAATTTATTTGATTTCCGTATTTATCCAACTTTATAAAATACGAAAGTTTAGGCATCTTTTGACTTATTATTTTTCAATGTTCTATTTCTATCCAAGTTCTCTTAATTTATTTATTTTAGCATTTTACAACATGCTATATATATATTTTACATACATATTTATACTAATACATCTTTTATTATGTAATACAATTATTCAAAGCTAAAATTCTTTTTTATAAAAAGTTTAAATGTCATTATTGCGTAACAAGTTAAAAATAATTTTAAAGTGTAATCGGAAAATCAAAATCAAGCAGTATAGAATAAAATTATTTAATTTTTTTTCTATCCCAAAATTATTATTTAATTTTTTTTCTATTTTTTTTTCTTTCCCTTATGAAAAGTAAAGATATTTGAAATTTTATTTTTGCATATGAATGTTATTTTAAAAGGTTCTTATTTTCAAAATAGATAATTTTTGGCAAATAAATTATTTTTTATAGCTTTATGAGCTTGGAGCAATATAGTGATTAGCAACACTTTTTCATAAGGGCACTCAGATTTTTTACAAATTTTTGAAATTTCTACTACAAAAAAATTCACAGTAACTTCTTATTCTCTTCGCCAATATTACTTTCCTGAACAATTTGAAAATATGAATTATTATGTTGCAGCAAATTCTTACTTTTTAGTTTTGAATATAAGGCATTAATTAATAAATACCTATATTTAATCCTTTATAAGGCCGTGGGAGATATTCTTCCTACGAACTTTTTTAGTTTTTACCTAGCAATATGAAGCAATTTTCTCAACTACGATTTGAGCAGCCATTATGCTGATAGCTTCAAATAATACTAAAAAAGTAAAGAGTAAATGTTTACATGAATGCAATTAACAGTATAGGTTTGCGTGGGATCTAGAGGAGAGGTCAATACTGGGGAGCTATTTCATCTTGCTATGCGTTCGTTCATTTAATCATTTCTCATTGAACTTATGTGTAGCTATAAACACTGAATTTGCAAACTCAGTTATTTATGTACACAGAAGTTCAAGTTTATGACCAATTCTTTACAGTG